TTTAAATTTCAATCTAGAATGCCAGAGCTATATTAAAAACCCTAATTTTTAATCACGGAGCCTTAGAAAAATTGATTTGGTCGTCGAATGTTTTTAGTGTCTTGTCCTAGCCGGTTAAAAGATGCTCAAATCGTATTTTTAATCATATCTCGATTTTTTCAAATGGAACGAGGGTGGCTCATTAGCATATTTGAAAAAAGCATTTATTTATGAATAATTCGATAACACAACAGCCTTGGTATTTCGAGTAAAATTGTTGTTATGAACCGCATGCTACAATTTCAAATAAACCATATGCAAAAATGTCAAAAGTTTACATATGATATGCCATTTTATTCGGAGTGTCATTTTATATCGAGAAAAGTAAAAAATACAGAGAGTGCCATTTAAAAATAAAAAGTTATAGTTATTTCCGGTGAAACAAGAAGTGACCGAAAACAATCACTTAAACGGTCACTTTCCTGTTTCACCGGAAATGACTACAACTTATTTGATTTTGAAATAGTACTATCGGCATTTTTTATTTTATTTGATAGAAAATGACATTCTGAATACAACGACATATCAACTGCCTGGAAACTTATATGGTGATATTTTGATAAAATAATTTAGTACACACTAAAAACACGGTATGTCGCTAGTGGTAGGAAAAATAATTTTTAGAGGTTACTAGTTTATTTGGTTGCCTGTGATATGCATATACAGGGTGTTTCCTAATTAATCTAAAAAATAAAAAATCGTTAGAAAACGAATTAAGGCGGGCTCTTAATAAGTATATTTATTTTTTCTCGAAAACCGTTTGATGAACAAGAAAAACGCAAAAATCAATTTTTTGAAAAAGGATGGCCAGTCAAGAAAAAATATATTTTCTTTAAAAAAGCAGTGGTGTATCATTTATGTTAAGCAAAAAATCGATTTTTTAATTTTTAACACCCTGTAGATCAGAAAGGAAGTACTTGAGACCCAATGGTTATAATATAAAAATTGTTTTAAGAACACATGAGGAATCACACCATAATTTTTTTAGACTAATTCGAAAACACCCTGTATATTGTCAACTTGACAATGACTGCTGATAAATCAAAAAATACCTTTTCAGTGAAAAAAGCCTGATTTTCGCAGGAAAAATTTTGATTTTTATTGAATTTGGGCCTGCGTTTGCAAATTCTCATTTGTTTTTTAATTTTCTGTCTATCTAAATTTTAAATATCATAGTCAGAAATAGCTTTATTATTTATTAACTTTAAAAATGGTGTTTTCTTGTTGTGTTGCATCTGTGGTTGCATCTTGCAAAGAAACTAACAAAACTGCAAAAATGTACGTGTTTCTAAAAGACGATAAGGTATGTATCTTAGATAAAAGAAAAATATATGGTATGTATTCGTTGTTTGATTTTTTTTCGTTCGCTTTAAGATCTATAAATCTCGGTCTATTCATTAGACAGCCAGTCGACTTACGATCATTTACATGAAACTCTGTAAAATAAATAAAACAATAAATTGTAAAATATATATATTCTTATGTTTTATTCAAGTTACTCTGATATACTAATATATCAGTGTAACTTTAAAAATAAATTCTTTGAATTCAAATATAAACATAAAAAACATTTACAACAGAAAAGGCGAAGGCGCTGGGTTAAACGTAGTCTCCACTAAAAACACGGAGGGGCGCTTTGACCCAAAATTTTACTATTAAGTTTCATATCTATCTTAATAGTAGATTATTTTCTTTTATCTATGGACATATCATGTATCAAATTTTGACAGTTTCAGTTAAAAAAAATAAAGGGGGAAATTTATAATACTATTTTTTAAAAATGTCAAAAGTTGACATTTATGGTATGCCATTCTATTTGGATATAACTAAAAAAAAATTATAAGGTTGAGCCACTTGTGAAAAACACCCGCTATAATAGACACGAATTATTAGGTTTCTAATTATGTTTATTAATATTTACTATTTATATATTTATTATTTACTTTTCAAAGGTTTTAGTTTTAAATATTAAATGTAACAAACCTATACATATAAGCCCTAATTCAATATGGCGTTTTGGATCGAAAAGTAAATTGCACGGTAAATACAAATGCATATTCGCATGTATAGAGCAAAGGAAAATGTTAAAAGATTTGATTTCAGATTTGTCATGCACTTATATTTTCTCAGCGCTTCGGTATATCGGATTTGCTTCGCTCAAAAGTGCGTTATTAGCAAAACGGAGTAGAAGAGAGCCTTCCAGAATGGAATATGGTATGTATTTTTTTCCAATTCTCTATATAGTTTTATGCCACATATGTATACGATCACAAATTTAGATTGGAAAGCCCGTCAAAATATATATCTAATTGTTTTCGGTCGCGACCGTTGTACGCGATCTAGCGCTGCTATAGCAGTTGCTAAGGTTGCTAAGAAATCTGACAACAGTTCTTCCTCCGAGGGTACACACCCTTCCACGGTTGGAGTTTGGCCCTCCGTGTCGCTCTTCACAATCCAGGAACTTGCCTCCGGCTGAGGAACCTGTTGGGTGGAGGCTGGAGGATCTGTCTCCATTTTCTCCACCTCTTTAATTTGGCCTCTCCTTAGACCTGATACCGGTGTTGTCCCGTATCTATAATAGAGGATATGTCCCTCTTTCTCTATTGCCTCCTTGGATTTGAGGTCAATTCCTATTGTGAGGACATGTCCATGACCCTCCTCCCTCGACTTGATAACTCACCAACTCGATGTCCTTACATTGAAGTTCTGACCCTGGATAAGACTCAACAGGTAGGTGGTGTCTTTCCCCTTGCTCCTCAGCAGAAAACCGTGATAGCCGCCCCTTTAGGGATGTTTTCTCCCTTCACTGCAAAGAGTTCCGGCCCAATTTTTAAGCAAAGGTGCGATTTCCACCAACCAATTCGCCGATTCTTGAGATACACAATCTATGAGGATCATGCCTACCCGAAAGTGTATTCCCGCAAAACGCAGCTGATCCACATTTTGTAGATCGTTGTGTTGCGATCCGATCGCCACTACTTCGTCCAGTATAGCCTCTTCTAGAGAGGTTTGCTGATCGGTGGTCAGAGCAAGCTCAAGGAAATCCTTTGGCAACACCGCCATTTTCACCTGTCCAGCAATATCGGCAAAGCTGGTAATACGTCCTGGTGTTGGACGGCTTTCCATCCTGGCTTTTTTCTCTCCCTGTCGGAGAAGAGGTGAGAGGTTCTCGCTCCCTCTCTTGCCCTTTGATGGATATGAGTCAGGTTGTTTCTTGGTTTCTTTACTCTCCTCTTTTCGGAGGAGTATTTTCGCTTTTGCTTCCTCTGGAGCAAGTCCTTCGTGGAGCAGTCGGAGACCTACTCTCAGAGGGTCGTCTAGCCCGCCTGGTTGACCCAGGCCGGGTAAACGAAACGGTAGCTTGTGTCACTTATTGGGTCTAGAGGTATGCTCCCGACCCTTGCTGGAGAAAGTGGTAGCTTGTCTGCCACTTGTGGAGGATGATCCCAAGCAAGTGTCAGCCGCCCCTCTTGTAGTTTCCTTTGGATTTGGTCCCTTGGAACTTTCATTTGTAATGTTCCCAGTGTCACTTCCCCACAGCTTCACTTGTGGTGTTTTTAATGCTAGATCTCATAGTGTTCCACGAGTCGCTAGCTAGGGATAGTCGGTCCACTTCTACAGAGCCCCACGCATGTAGAAGTAAGGGGTAAATGCAATGGAGTGCTCCCTGATGCCCCAAGGTTGAGGCCAGTAATGGCTAGTCCTCTATCTAGCCACGCATTCCTTTGACCTGGTTCCGCCATCGTATATAGGATTTAGGTTTTTGGTAAGGTTGTCTCCTCTTGGTCCAGGCGGTTATGCCAAGACCTCCCCACACCCTCTACCCGCGAGTCATGACCACAGTCAGTAGAGGGTGCCTGGTATGACGGACAGGGGTAGCCTCGTCCGGCATCGTTATATGTCTTGGTGCAATTCCCTGGCCACGACACTACAGGCCAGGGACAAGATGATGAGTGCATGAGATGCTTGTTAGACCAAGCCAGGCGCTAGAGGGATTCCCCCCAGCACCTGACCAGGTACTTCCCCACCAACGCCAAGGTCTTACATCCCCTAGGGGAAGAGCTATGACGATCACATACCTACAATTTGATCGAAAAAGACAGCGTCAGATATATGACTATAGAAATAAAGATCGTTGTCATTTTATATATTATAGGAAATTCCATCGATCTTCAGTTCTAAGCCAACTGTTTTTTCTATCATACGGTATTTTTCTCCTTAAAATTATAATACTTAAAATATTATATATAGCCACTTAAGTTTTTTTATAATTTACAAAGTCAATATATATTTTATCTAAATACTTAATTCATATACAATTATAGAGTAAAAATCTCAATTTACTTCTAAATCTCTTAAAAGTAAAAAACAAATTTGCGCATGGAACTATATATGTTGAGAAATTTCCGACATAAAACTCAGCTCGCCTGTAGATATAATAAATATCTTAAAACACCTCAGAGTCATCTAAATGTTTTGGTTAAAATAGTTACTAGTTAGTAAAAGAAATTTTTATTAAATAAATCTGGTATTTTATTTTATACATTCTCCACAAAAATTATATTTAATTTTGAATAAAATTTTAAAATAAAGACTATTTGCGCTACTAGTGCCACCTATACAAAAAGTGTAAGAAACAAATAAGAGATATATAGAAACCTTACTTAGAGGGCACTCGACGTCAACGATTAATATAATCGAAATCTTACGTTCTAAAATGTTGTAATATTTTTTGTAATATGAATTGCTCTAACATAATATAGTGATTTTAATATATTAAAAAATTATCAATTTTCAATTTAAAAGCACACTGTCTTTATAATATCCAGTAATTCAACAACTTATTTTAACATTAATTATTAAAAATTTATACTTACTCCTCTCATCGTTAGATGGCGCATAAATCATCATCCTGACAAGTAGTTCAAATGTTCAATTTTCAGTAAAAATAATCCAAATACAAATCGTAAATCCTACAAAAGTTCTAGAAAACAATTAAAGTAGTGTATAAAATTTTCTATTTTCTAAAGTGTTTTAAATTTTCAGATGCTGGTGGGTGACGATTCTTTAATTCGGAATCATAATGGTGTGGTTTTCATAAGGAATTAAGCGAAATTTTATCAAAATAAGGTAATTTTGTCCTGGGAATACGCGATCAAGTCTACCATTTTAGAATGGATGTTGATTCTCCTATTGAGGAAAATTCTAAGAAAATTTGCGATAATTTGACAAACAGTCTTCCGGAAGGGCCGCTCCTAGGTTCTATAACAACTAATGCCTTAGATAAAGATGATAAAGGAATGCAAATCAGATCCAGTGCTAGAGTTTTTAAGAAAATGAAGCTGGAGCAAGAACTTGATAAAAAGGTACATTTCTTTAATATTTTATAACTGAAAAGGGCATTATATGGTTTACCTTTCTTGTGTAAAAATTATATATTAACGCTTTGAATGTCCTACACACATATTATATATTGTATTTGACAATGTTAAATAGTTTGTTAAATGTTTAAATATGTATGCATTCATTTTTATATAATTATATTACATCTGTTGACACTATTCTTTTTGCTTTAGTATAAAAGAGATACAATATATTAAGGTACAATTGATACACAAATGATTATTTTTATTTATTCCAAATAGAATGATGAAAAATCTACATTAGACTGCCCATCCGGTTGCATAAGTGGTGAAGCAAGTGTTGCTGTTCTTTCTCCAAATGCAGAGCCGTCCCATTCAAATAGTTCCCCTGTTGAAAAACCACCTGATCCTGAAATTAAAGGACCTCAAATCAGATCTAGTACCAGGGTCATCAAAAAAACCAAGCTAGATTCTACCATTGTAAGTCACAATAAATTAGTTCTTGAAGTATTTCATAATTTAATTTAGGTGAGTGACACAAAGCCTAAGAAAGATGAGGTAAAAGCTGATATCAAGAAAATAGTAAGAACTAATTGGAGTTATGAAGATAAATTAATGTTTTTTGAGGCTGTGAATGAATATGGCAAAGATTTTGAGAACATCCTTCAATATATTAATACCAAACTCAAAAAGAGAGGTGCTACAGATGAGCAAATTAAGACAAAAGATCATGGTAATAAAACATAGACTTCTTACTACATAAATATATTATATTTATATTCTAGTAAGACAGTTCTACAACAGAACATTTCATGAAGTCTCAAAACATGTGAAATTTTCTGATAGCGTTAAAAAGGTTGTTCAGGAACTGTATGGCATTATAAATTATGGAGAGCTTCATAAAAAATTGGGATCTATTAGTGACAAGGCCTGTCTGAAATTAACTGAACTTATTTATAGAGGGGCCACAGTAATTAGGTCAAAGGGTAGGAATATTTAATTTTAATTCATATTATTATAATACTCTACAATAAATTTTATTAGGAAAAACCATCAGAATAAAGTCTCCAATGTGTAGAGCTTTAATAAAAATCAGCCAGTTGGATGAAAATTATGAAGATGTAAAACTACCAAACAGAGTCATAGTGGAATTAAGGCCTAAAGATATGACATCCTTTGTAAGAATTCAATCTATGGCACAAAATCCAAGACTTAAAACTACATTGCCTTTACAAAAAAGGCTAAATGCATTAATTCAATGTTTAAGTAAAAGGTAAAAAAGGAGTTTTATATCTTTATCAGTTTTGAATAGTTTAGATTTTTTTTTAACTAACTTTCATTAGGTGGAAAACCAGAGATGTAATAGAATATGAAAAATCAATTGTATCATCAAATCCAGTTACAAATGACTGTGTACCATCCCAGCAAGAAATTGTAGACAATTTAGCATTGTTATCACCAGCATTAAGGTTAAGTCCTCCACCTGAATCTAAAATTGATTTGCCACTGATTAATTTAAGTGATTATTTAACAAGGTTCGAAGTACCACCTTTTATTAAATAATCCACTTAAAGAAATTATCTTTCAGACAAACTATATGTTTAACAGCATACGAAAGACGTATTGGTTTGGATACATTTAGTGAGATTAAAATTATGTCCAAGAAGAAAAAGCAGAAAGTAGAGACAGAACAAAAAATAGATGTTCCATTACAGGATGTCAAGCCTGATTTTAAGTGTGAAATAAAAAATGAAGAGACTGAAGTAAACAGAGAGTGTTATATTTTAGAAAAAAAAACTAATTTTTAATTTGTATATTTTAGGCAAATAGTTGTAATGAAGCTGATCCAGATGTGACTTTGGCTGATGTGGTTGATGATGCTATAACTAGTATTGTTTTGTTGCAACAAAGACTAGATAGACAAACTTCTGAAACTAGTGAAACTGATGAGCCTACCAAATCTGAACTAAAAGAAGAAATTAAGGTAAGTATTTGTAGAACAGATCCAAATTAAGTAAAGTTTTTTTTTTATTTTTTCTTTTTTTTTAGAGTGAATTGAAATCAGAAGTTATAAATAAAGAACAGCAAGAAAAAATTGAAAATATAAGAAAAGGGTGGACTGAAAAAAACAGTTGTAGTCTTACAATAGGAGAATTATACCTAATGTATGGATCTGATTCGACCTTAGTTTTGGAATACAGTTGGGATACTGAGGCAAAAACAGCAACAGAAAAACCAGTTACGTCTGAAGGTAGTATAATATACATAATTTTTGGATAGCAAAAGTTAATGTTTTCTTTTTAATTTTAATTACTAGAACACTTTCTTGATAAATGGAAGGAAACATATCAAGAAACCTTAGAAAATAAGAAGAAAAATTTAACAACAGCTTTAACAAAACTGCTCTCTATAGTAAAGCTACAACATAGGAACAATGTTATGAAAGTAAGATATTTTAAAAACATAGTAAAAGTAGACAAACTGTCCAGGAAATGAATATTATGATTGTTGTGATGGTTATAAGGAAATACTGTTGTAATTTTTTGGTTTTATTCTCTCAAAGTCATATTTTTTATCTGAACAGAGCATAATGAATTTATACAAATATAAACATTTTAAAACCCTGTTAAACATGTACAACCAGGGCAAACAATAAAAATTGCTATAAAACTTAAAAATGCATGTTTAGTTTAAAATTAAAAAAAAAATGTTTTTTCAACTCTATATAAAATGGTATACATATCTAAGTGCAACAACTTGATAGTTGACTTAAATTTATGAATGGCGTGTTGTGTCTTCCCTTTAGTTAGATGTCTCTGGGCATAACTATATACTCTATATTTCTAAATTCCATTTTTGTAGTGCCAATGTGGTCACATATGCGATGGAAGAATGGTCATCAAAAATGGGCCAACTGGCAGTTTTTCAAGGGGAAAAAGAGGATCTATTCTCGAAACTAACATTCCAGAGAATTTGTTGCCGTCAAAAAGCCAAAACACAGGGTTTGCCAGTAAACCAGTATACGTCCAACCTAAGGACAGAAGTAAGTAAACATAATGTCAAGTATGTATTCTGCAGGAACTTATTAATTAATCAAAAGCTACAATTCACAACTTAAATAATACAACCAAGAACGACTATCTACTAATCGTCGTTAATCTAAATGTCAATCGTCGATCGATATTTCGGGACTTCATTCTGTATAATTATCCACGCACACCCTGTATAATATATGTAAAAATATATTTTCTTATGCATCTGCAGCAGGACCACTAGGGTGCACCAAAAAAATATATTTTTTTTTCTTTTTAGTTACCTACCGTGAAAATATCGTTCAGGATAATGAAAAAAAAAGTTCTGGTAAAGTTTGAGCTTTTAATATTAATACCGTATGATCGAAAAAAAACGGCGTCCAGTTGGCTTGGAAATGACGATCAATGACATTTCCAATATAATTTTACATATAAAATGACAACGATCTTCATTTCATAGCCATCGCTGACGCCGTTTTTATTCGATCATACGGTATTAAGAGGTGCCTCATCGTTATTTTCTATTTCCCATTTAAATAACATAGGGAAACAAATTCTTTTTTTTTTTAATTCTATTACGTTCTAACAAATCAGCGTATTGTTAAAATCAATACATATTGTAGTAAATTGAATGGTCTTCAAAAAAGGTCTAATATGAGTTTTCATTTAATCAACTTGTTTGAAAGTTATTGAAGGTTAGAGTTCAACTTCAAATCGTATATGATACCACAGATTATAAATTTATCGTCACTTATGGCCTCTAAAATTGTGCACAGCGCCTGACCGGCTCAGATATTACGCTGTTTAAACGCGAGTTTATTTTTGCGCACAGGAAATTTTACTCGTTTGCTCATAGTCATAAAAAACAATTTTCGTACCACAAATTAGGGACAAGATTTTTATCTGTATACATATAGTATACCTAATCTGTGATGATACCTTCCACAATTTTTTATATTTTATCACGAAATAATGTCTAAAACTATCAAAGTTTTCTTTATTTAAATATCTTATAAAAGATCCGAACTTCAAAATAAAAAAAGTTTCCATATCTAAAGTGGCCCTTGAGTTACCGCGTGTTATGTGTTAAAAAGTTGAGTTTTTAAATTATCGCGATTACTGACGTTTTCTCGTTATAAAAAAATGGACACCCTAACGATATCCTTATGATTCCATTTCAGATGCTCAGAAACGTATCTAATAATTTTATCTAGTTATCTTTTCGAAAAAAAGTCTTTTAAAAATAAGCGGTTTGCGATCGTGATGTTACTTTACTTGATGGGGAAAGGCGTACCGGAGAAATGTGGCAACGCCGCAACAGCACACCGTCGCATTTCTCCCACTCCGACTTAATAAGATCCCTATGCGATTTACTTCCACACATGGAAAAATATCGACCCAAAAGTAAGAGTTGCCAGCTCGGTTTGTCTCGCTTTTATTTCTTTCTCTAATGCAAAAAGTGCAAAAATCTCCAAATCACTTTTTCGAAATTTCGCAAACATATTTACAGCTTTTACGGACGCAAATACAGACCACCAAATACAGGCACTACAAGAAACAACAGAAACGTGGTCGAATCTCGGTCCTGACGCGGCCCGGACATGTGTGTCTCGACCTTAATTCAAATATAATTTGATATTTGAGGCATCAAGTTGCAAAACCCGTATTATCCCACAAAGGTTGTTTCGAAATAATAAGCAAAAACTGTTTTAGCACATGTTTGAAGCTTTTTTCTCTAAGGCTCTCGACTGTGTAAATCATACTATCTTAATTAACAAATTGCAATACCATGGATTGCCGCTCGAATGGCTTAAGTCATATCTTGGCAACAGAAGGCAGCTTGTGAGGATTGATACGTCTATGTCTTCTTGTAAGCCTATAGAATGTGGTGTCCCTCAGGGTTCAGTACTTGGCCCTATTTTGTTTCTGGTGTTTATCAACGACATTGCAATTCTAGACATTAGCGGTAAAATCTGCCTCTTTGCGGACGATACTAGTTTCACTTGGAGCGGCCCATATGTTACGGCACTATATAATACTATATCCAGTGACTTACGCACCATTAAATCTTGGTGCGATTCTAATCTCCTATGTCTCAACCTTTCAAAAACTAAAGTTTTGTCATATAAAAGTACTATATAACCTTTTGTACTTAATAACACCACTATTGACGTCGTGGACTCTGTGAAATTCTTAGGACTTGTTGTAGACAACTCGTTAAAATGGGACTTGCACATCGAAGCTTTATCAAAGAAACTAAGATTAACTTATCAAGCAACAACTAACTTAACTTATCAACCTCTAGAATGGTCCTTTTTGAGTCGCATCTTTGTTATGCCCTTCCTTTCTGGGGTACTTGCTGCGCGACAAGGTTTGATCGTGGCTAACGTCATATTCAAGGCCTGACTGTTTTGACAGTTCTACCGAAGTGGTCCAAAATTAGTAGTCGTAAACAAACCAATTGTTTTCATTAGTTTCGCAACAAATCTGTGTTTTTTACGCGTTTCTATGCTAATAAAATTATACTAAATAATTTTGAGTGAATAGTTAACTATCTAGATCCGATTCATAACATCGTACCTGCGAAAAAAAACATACTTTCGGTAAAAATTATAGTAACACCGGCGATGCGTGTGTGTCTGTGTGTCCGGGCTAGGAAAAAGTTCGGGAATTTATATAAAAACATAATTAACAGCGTTAGTGTTAGTGTATAGTGTTAAACCAACGTAAGTGACGTGTATTTTTATGTAAAACAGTTTTCGTTTCTTTATTTTTACTTTGTGAAATAAAAAATTCCGCGACATTGTTCTGTGCCTGTGCCTTGTAGCAGCAATTATAATAAGTCCTCAGGATCTGTCTACATTCTCTTTCCCAACAATAGTAACTGTAACTAGGTCACGTCCAAAACCTACAGAACATGCTGTGCCTACAGTTTTTCCAAATCAACCCTTTTATGGACCCTCTGTGCATGTTCCCATAAAGAAAAAACGTCCCGATGAAAGAAAACAAGATTTGGAAATTCAGGATGAAATAAATATTGAAAAGTATTATTATTATTATGAAATGGCAATATATTTTAAAGAAATTAAATGAATTTGTACTTTATTTCAGTATTTTATATAAAAAAATGATATCTTTATCTTTTTATTTACGATTTATGGAGATGGTTACTTGATGAACATCGAACTACAAATTACTTAATGTTAATAGTTAATTCTATCTGATATCCACATTTTTTAAATATGTTAGGCAAATTTTTACAGTTATTTTTAATTAAACTTTAAAATGTATTCTGCCGTTATCATATACAATACATTTTCTTAACTTGTCGATAAACGTATAGTTTTCAAATTTTTTTATATTTGGAAACTTTTTATCACAGGTATATTATTACTAGTTGCTAAATACTCGCTAACGCAATTTTAGGACACGTTTTTTATTATCTAGATTTTATTTTGTTCATCTTATGCTGTAGTTTATTTCATATGAATATTCGTGCTTTAGATCTAAATTTTAATGCTATTCAATTACTTTAACGCGATAAAAAGTTAATGTTATTTTTTAATACCTTTCTGTATAATATTTTTCATATTTATCTGGCAAAACTATCAATAAATACTATTATTTATGCAAAACCTATATGCAGTACCATATGGCACAATACAAAAATCGGACTAGTGCGGTGACGTCACAAATCGATGTCTCTGGTCTGTTTGTCATGTTGGTCATGGTTTCATCGTCTTTTCAAACGTCAAAAGAGAGCAGTTCGATATTTATTGGGACTGAACAGTAGAACTCCCTGCCAGAATTTCTTTAAAAATTTCCAAATACTAACTCTTCCTTATTCATTTTTGAATCCGTCTGCTTAATCCGCAAGCATATATCTGCTATTCCGGAAAGGCCATCTCACAACTATCCACTTAGGAATGCAATGGAACACGATCTTTATCTGCCAACCCCGAGCTCAGAACTAGTTAAAGGCTCAATACTGTACAATGCCAAAAAAATGTACAATCATCTGCCTTTGAATATCAAAAGTCACTTTCATTCTTTCCCGCATTTCGCAAAGCTCTGAAATCATACTTACTGGAGAGAGCCCTATATACGGGGTAAACTACTTTTTACGGTAGACGAATTTTGAATTTTAAAATTCTTCACACACTGGTTAAAGGTCTAGTATATAATATTTAATATTTTTTATAACTCTTACATGATTTTATCCATTTACAATTTTAATTTTGTAAAATTTTATTGATACGCCTGTATTCTGCAATGTCCATGTATGTTTTATTTGTAATTTTAATGACGTAAATTTTTTTGAATTGATTTGTATTGTATGATATTTTTTATTATTTGTATATTTTTTTTGTGCTTTTGTTTGTTTTGTAAATGCTTTGTCGATGAAGCTATTTTGGCTTTTTGTACAATAAAGCGTTGTTTATTATTATTATTATTATTAATTTAGAAAAAACGTGTCCATTGAATGGAATCATTGTTTTGTATCTGATTTTTCTAGAAATAAAAATGAATACCTATTTAATTTTTAAACAAAAAACAAAAATAATTCGGATAAGGCGGGTTTTGTTGCTGTATGATGCTTATTGGCTATGAAATGAAGAACGCTGTCATTTTATATGTAAATTTTTATGCGAAATGTCATTGATCGTCATTTCGTAGCCAACCGGATCCCGTTTTTTTTTTGATCATATGGTATTTGCATCCTAACTTGATTCATTAAATATACTATTTTATTAAAATTAAGTAAAGTTTGGAAAAGATGTCAGTAGTAATATTATACTTGTGTAAAAAAACTTATTAAAAAAAGCGGAATTTGTAACAATAATGACAATAAAAAGCAAATATAAGTGGATAAGACGGGATTTTGCTGCAGTAACGTAATTTGTAGTGAATTTTATATTGAAATAGGCGACTTTTACTGCAGTTTGGGGTTATGTTTAAGCGGCCCATACATTATCAAACAAATTGCGCAACACAGGCTGTTGCGCATCGAGTTGCCAATGTATGATAACCTTTGATGCGTTGCGCAATCGTTTGATAAGTTTCAAGGATATTTGAATTCTTTTGTGCAACAGGCGTTTGCGCAGCGCGTTGTGTAGTGTATGTGTGTGTTGCGCTTCGTTGTGCAACGTTTTAGTTCTTTTAGTTCTTTCATCCAAATTCTTTCTTTTCTTTTTCATTTTTTGGTATCATTGACATCATGAATGATGGCTTGATTGTTTCTCAAACAATGCACAACTTTTAATAAAAAGTTTGATCAAAATTTTACTAAGTGTATGGGTGAGGCAGTTGTGCAACGGAACGTTTGTTGCGCAACTTGTTTGATAATGTATGGACCCCTAAATCAGTTGTGCAACGCAACGTTGCGCATCGCTTTGTTGCGCAATTTGTTTGATAATGTATGGGCCGCTTTATGTAGATTTCACGGTCCCACTATTAATATATGTCATTAGGCCATTTTTTTAAAAAATCGATAAAGCGGGTTTTGCAGCTTGACGGCTCATTTATTTATTCGTTTTCCAGCTCAACAAACACCGACCATGAAACAGCAACTAGATTCGATACAGAAATTAAAACCGATATTCTGTAATCGTAAAGGCAGGCGGTTCAGATCAAAACAGGTTGTAGTTGAGAGAAAGGTAATGCCTTAACTCGATTTCTTTAAAAGTATGTTAATGCCGTATTACTTTCAGCTACCACTTTTGCCAAATAATCTGAGCGGGCATCAAATAGTCAGGATGAACATTATATCACAACAGCCTTCGCCTGCAGCAGCGACTACAGAATCTCAAATCAGCATTCAAGATGATCTCCAGATTCAGAAAGTGATCGATAATCCGGAAGATGAGAATAGTGTCATATCCACGGTAAGACTGTTTTGTAACTGTGTCTGTTCAACCAGAGTAAGTGGATCGACGAGTAGCGACAGAAACCGTCGGCTCTTGATGTGGTGGGACCAAATTTTCTTTCTCCCTCTTTTGACGTGTTTGACAGATAGACTACTTATTTAACTGGTCAACTTATGAAGTGGTCCTAGAAACATGGTATACACTGCTCATAATTTGAAGTGGAATTAATTATAAAGTTTTATACATATTTTTTTGTTTTGTTTAATCCCTATTTCTAAATTTGAATGTGTAAAATATCTTACAGCTAATAAATAATTAAAAAAGTGATTCGTTGCTTGAGGCATACTTGAATAGAGTATATAGAGATATCTGATAAATGGCAACAGTGGCAACTTCGCTTCTTCATATGACAGATAACCTACTTATTTCGCGCAGCCGCAAAGAAAATTGAAAATCGGACAGTGGCTACTCGTCGGTTTACTTACTCTGGTTCGACCCTTTGAATAGAAAGATTAAGAAAGGAGCATATCAAAAATCTTAACTTGCGTTCACACCGGCTGCGCCGTGCCGCGCAATTCTTTTTTTTAACATATACTTTTGTGCGCGTTAAAAAAAATACACTTCAAAAGTACATGTTAAAAAAATGTTTTGCGCAGCGCGGCGCGGAGCACCGCAGCCGGTGTGAGCACACCGTTAGAAAAAATGTCTATACCTATGTGGCGGATTCATCTCTCCAAAAAAATTCTATATGGGTATTTCGCCACTGCAAGAAAATCTACAAAATAAAATAGTTATTTTTTAGAAACACTGCTGCGTTAACCCAACGGATACTAATTGTCAGCAGTTAGGTTTACTGATATACAAATTTGCCTAACAAACAAAAAAAATTCTTAACGTTTCGGAAAGTTTATCTCTTTCCGTCGTTTGAAGCAAAAAATACAAAGAATAACGAAAAAACTATTTAAAATATTTAAATGTAACTATTCGAAAACACTTTATTTTTTTTAAATTATGTCAAAAATATTAGATCGACCGCGCCGGGGTCCTAGAATGGTCGACTTAAATTCCGGTTTATCAGTGTCTTTCCAATTTTATTCAAAACGTGTAAAAATATGATGTAGGGTAGACTCAATAATTTGTTTTATTTTACGTCGTCAATAAATGTTGGTGGTTATTAAAATTGTTGTAAAAATATACAATTATTCTAATAAAAATAAATAAGTTATAATAATTATTTATTAACACAAACATCCGATACGCTACTGAAGCAGTTAAGTCAAATTAACCTATCTAAATTCTTTGACAAGTAGTAAATAAAAGCAAAAATGCAAGAAAAATAATTAGTTAATTTTAAGTGAATTTCATAAATGATCGGTTTACTACACGTATGTATATCATACAGTAACTTACTAACGAAAAAGTTATTCCGTTATTTCCCTCGATTTTTGACCGAGATCTACCGCACGCTACACAACCACTGTTAATTTAAGTTCCGCTACAATTCCTTCTCGATTTACTACCTTTAAAGAATCAGTAGTAGAATAAATAACATAAGCTCACTAAAGAGTGACAAATCCACAAAATTTCAAATCAAATTCAAATGTGTCAAATGAATCGTCAAACAGAACTAGGACCCTTCAAACCCTAGGACCCTTTATCCCATACCCATACCCATAGATAAAGGAAACAAATTTAGATTGGAATGCTCGTCTTGCCGACAAAACTTAATTGTTTTGGAGTGCATACGTTGTACACGGGACCTGGCGCTGCTATAGCGGTTGCTAAGAACAATCGTAAACAAGAACAGAAATAATTTTCTCTTATCAAAGAATTATAAAAAAACTTTCAAAATCTCATTGAAAAAATACCGAAAAGTGTTTATAAAAGCGCCCATTTTCAAAGTAGTTATTGCTATCTTGTGTTTAATTTAAATTTTATTAACTCAAATTCGTAATAATTGGGAAAAAGTGGTATTATAAATTTAAAAAGCTGTGTGAACTGTGAACTGCAAAAACCATCATGGATCGTGGCATAACGTCGGTTTCCAATGTTTCATAGATATTTCATACATGTCGTTATATAAAATAAAGTTTCTTTTATACAACACACTGTATTTTATTTAAAAAATTAAAAGAAAATAATAAATTTGAATAAACAATATTGGGCGACATAAAAATAGCGCCAAACAATATTTACATTTTCCTTAAGGGGACTTTCCAATCTACTCCAACTTGTTGTCAATATGTGCTCAACGCCTATCCAGAAAACGATTCGCACGGCAAGGAGAATGCCAAAATCTATTGCTTAGCGTTTTGCTGAACGATGACGGCTATTTTCGCTTGCCACTTTGAAAGCGAAGTAACGTTTTTATGTCGAAGTACCAGAATTCGGGCCCAGGTGCAGGTACGTCATTCTTGATCCTGAACCGACATTTAACGTTCAAAAAAATCTCGCAAAAGACCGGCTCACTAAAGTGATTATAGGCATGACGTTTCAAAACTGGAATATCAGTCCCGAAATGGAGCATGCCAAGAAAATCTTGACAGGGCCATCCAAACGCAGAACAGTCCGGCGGGTCTCCTAAAACCCTTAAAGGCCGGCAGGAATAGTGAACGTTTGCACACTGCAGTATACACGGGCCACTGCAGCCTGTGATCACGTTATATGTACCTGCCCCATTGGGAGCAGGGCCAGTTTGAGTTGTTTGACAAAGCCATGCTATACTTATCAGACCTTGGGATATATATATACTTATCAGACCTTGGGATATCACTCTAGGATATAGTAACCTATATTAGAACGTTACTAATTACTAAATGTAAGACAAGTTAATGTTAGTTCGAGAACGGTTAGAAGAAGATTAAAGGAAGTGGCTTTAAAGCTAAGACAACCTGCCAAAGTTCCACGTCTTCTCCAAAATCACAAAACTCGTCGATTGCAATTTGCCAGAACACATATTCAGTGGAATATTGAGGACTGGAAAAAAGTTCTATTCACTGATGAGAGTAGAATACAATTATAGAAGCCAGATGGGCGAAATCATGTCTATAGAAGTGTCGGGGAACGATTCAGAAGCTGCAACCTTAGACAAACTGTTAGTTCTGGAGGTGGCGGTATAATGGTTTGGGGAGGCATTCATTGGGAGGGGCGCACCGAACTCATAGAAATTATTGGACGAATGACCAGGTATTGGTATATTGAAAATATCCTGCAAGATCATGTTTTGCCATATGTAGGCCTCATTGGATACGACAGATCCCTATTTATGCACGATAATGCTGGACCACATGCAGCTGGTATAGTGACTAATTATCTTGATGTAGTCCAGATTCAAAGATTAGATTGGCCACCATATAGCCCAGACTTAAATCCCATTGAGCATTTGTGAGATGAGCTAAAACGTCGCATACGACGAAGAAATCCTGTTCCAAATACACTAGAAGAGCTTCGATATGCGATCAAACACGAGTGGAATGCAATTCCTCAAGAATATATTCAAACTTTAATTAGTAGCATGCCGAGAAGGATGCAAGCAGTAATTAGAGCTCGAGGTGGGAATACTCGTTATTAACTATTCCCTATTTTTCCATTCAAAAGTCGTAAAAATATAATCAACATTTACTTACTTACTTCTGAAGCATTTAAATTGAAACTAAGTATCCTTCATTTTCATAAATTTAACATTATTTTTTTACGATTTACTGTCAATAATAATTTAATATTCCTTATTTAAAATGTGTAAAATACATTGTTCTTTCTTGTTTGTTGCATGTTATTCATTATTTAGTAACATTAAAATTTATATTCATGAAAAAAATTTGAAAATTTAAAATATTCGATAATTTTGTCCATGAGTGTAGAATACTGAATATAAATCAATAAATAAATATGTATCGCCATAGTTGTCAATCTTTTTTACCATTTTAGGTACCCTCGAGCCCATCAAGGCTTCTAAAGGAAGGCGAAAGTGAATGGATCAACGCGGAAGTGGCCGATTATTCTCTAAGCAGCCTTTTAGGGCACTTGGAGAGCCCGATAAAGAATCCCATAACGACATCTATGGCCGCTAACCTACCTTCGGATTTGTCCAACGAAGTCGATGCACAGCTGCATTCTTTATTGACGGAAAACAGCGTTGATTTTGCTGCTAATTTTGCTGATTTAGCGGCCAGCGTTGTTAACGATAAGAAGTATTAATCGTACTTTTTTTTGGTACAATTTTATATTCTTAACACACCAGTAGTAACTTCTACTTTGTCGATAGGATATAAAAATATAAGCTCGTAGCATTTATAGATAGTGGAACATGAAGTAGGTGTCCTCATATAGCTCTTCCTCCACAATATAGTACTCATAGAATAAGGAGTTAAAAATCAGTCTTTCTGTAAGGTAGGTTGTTATTTTGTATTTTAGTTTCCAAAAACTTGTGATTTAAATTTTTATTTTTTTACTACTCCACGACTTAAATATTTTTAGTTCTTTTCAATTCCACATTGATCATTTTACACACACAGTTGTCATCGCCGTCATTTAGTTGGGAGAATGTCATCGATCGGCATTCCCAAGCCAATTGCCGCCGTTTTATTTTCCATCATAATGTACTTAATATTTTATCCTTTTAATAGGTTTTTGATGTTTTGAAAATTATACTTGCCTCGTAACCTTCATATTGTAAAGGTCTTGGTAAAAAAAACAGTCAACTGGCATCTAAAAAATTTGAATTTGTATTTTGGACTCTCTTGAAAATTTGTCTTCCGGTATATTAGAAATAATTAAAAATATGCCAAGTATAATGTATAAATATTCTAATTTGATTAGGAGTTGATTAGGTGGGTTCATACTTTGTGTCCTAACTTTATCCTGCTTAACATTAACACTAAGAAATTAACCTTAAGAACTTAAGGAAATGTCATACTTCTACTTCCTACTTGTGTTAAGAATATTCTAGTATGAAATATATATGTTTTGAACTAACCTAACTTCACAAATATTTTTAGATTTTTGAATAATTGAGACACTAATTTTTACTTTAATAATTTCTAGACCAAAAAATAAATATTTATTAACATTGGGCGCCTTCAGAGAACACAGCCGCTGACATTCAGCATTTCGCCGACCCTTTATTTATGACATTTCACGGTATTCCCTAAACGGCAAAAAGAACAAGAAACAGCAGCTGTATCATGCGCTCTCTGTCTACTATAAAAATTTGAGTGAAATATAAATAAATCGTCTTCGTCAAATCGGTCTATAATCGATCTTTAGTCTTTAGAATAAAAATTATTTTGAAAAAAGAATTAGGTATTACTGGCTGATCATTTACTAATTGAAAATATATTATTTGACAATACAGTATTAAACATTAAATTTTAAAAAAATAACAGTTTACAAATAGTTTTACCTATACACCTAAACAAAACAACTTAAAATAGCAGGAACTGCCGTTCGACCAAGTCACCTTTTACGCAATTTTTTTCGATGGTATGGTACATATAAAATTACTGAAGGTGTAAATACTATACAATAAAAAAACGTCAAGGGTGACGTGGAAATGAAGATTGCTGTTATTTTATAAGTAAACTTATATAGGGAATGTTATCGATCATTATTTCTAAGCCAACTGCAGAGACAACTTCTGCCAACTGGGCGCAATTTTTTTTCGATCAGACGGTATAATTACAATGAAAGTTATTTATGCTGATTTAGATTTTTTTCAGAAACTAGTATTTTTTTTCTTTAATTTCATTGTATTCAGAAAATTCGACTTGAGATGGAAAAAAAACAAGAAGAACCCAAGATCAAGGCAGAACCCGATATGTATGATTTAACATATTGTGTTCTGCCTTAGCACCACAGATATTTCTATAGTATTTGTAAAGAGTGTCTGGAGATATTTTATTCCAAGTTTTCAAGCAACAGAATTAAGCAACAAAATTATTAAATAGCTTAGATATATCACGTACAAACTGGCAACACTGTATGCAGCCTTTTATTTAAGCCGGAGTCTCATGCATCCGAAATCCGATGACACGACGATCCGACGGTGCTCCTATTGGTCGAAATATTTTGACAATAATTTTTATCCGATAATTTTAACTAATCATCCGACGTCGTATAAAGTTAAATTTTGTTTAACTTTTGTACGATATCGTGTGTTTTTTAACCTCACTTTTTTTGAAAACATTGGTTTTTAAAAACAAGTTTAATGGGAAGTGGGCAATTTCGGGATATTTGGCGAGGAAGTTATTTTTATAAGTGTTTCTCCAATAAAACATGACATGAATCTCTATTCAATGCAGCAGAAAAATGTCAAAACTGTCAAATTTCGGAACGAACTTTCGGATATATGTGACAGGCTTTTTTTATTTCACACGATAACTTCAAATTTCGGATGTCGTACCATCGGATAGCTTAAAGCCGGAGTCTCATGCATCCGAAATCCGATGGTACGACATCCGAAATTTGAAGTTATCGTGTGAAATAAAAAAAGCCTGTCACATATATCCGAAAGTTCGTTCCGAAATTTGACAGTTTTGACATTTTTCTGCTGCATTGAATAGAGATTCATGTCATGTTTTATTGGAGAAACACTTATAAAAATAACTTCCTCGCCAAATATCCCGAAATTGCCCACTTCCCATTAAACTTGTTTTTAAAAACCAATGTTTTCAAAAAAAGTGAGGTTAAAAAACACACGATATCGTACAAAAGTTAAACAATATTTAACTTTATACGACGTCGGAAGATTAGTTAAAAATATCGGATAAAAATTGGTGTCAAAATATTTCGACCTATAGGAGCACCGTCGGATCGTCGTGTCATCGGATTTCGGATACATGAGACTCCGGCTTTATACGTTGATACGATGGTGCTCTGATTGGTCATAGTGTTTTCGCGCCACTTTTCACCCGTAAATATTTTACTTCAGCCTGCCAACGGACCCGTTCATACGATAACGGACGTTTTGACACTATTTTGACAATTTTAATCTAACCTTAATAAAAATATAAGTAAAATAGCAAAATCGTTATGGAAACGAAAATATAAAATGACACCAACGTATATCCGATAAACGGAGGCATGAAAATGCAATAAATTTAAAAACTGCGTTATTTTCTAACCAATCAAAGTCTTTAAATTCTACCAATAAAATTAATATCGTATCAATGTATCGTCGGATAACGGATGCATGAAAATCAAGCTTAAATATTTACCGCTGAGAATTTTGCGCAGCTGCTGACTGTTGCTGTTCGTCAGAATAGACCGCTTAGGGAATTCGCTTACTCAGCCGCTGACCGTCCCCGAACGCGCTCATTTATAACCGGTCAAATATGATTTCGAAAATGCTTAATCCCCCTATTGAACATGCGCAAATCAATATTGAATTAGCATCAGCCCTAAGAATATAAAATACTTATGCTATATTTCTTAGGACTCGTTAGGATTAAGGCTAATGTTAAAATCGATACGTTAGAAGCATGAACGCCGCTAGCGTTCATATTCTTGGGATTAGGACTAATAGGCTAATTTGGACTAAATATTCTTGGGATTAGGACTAATGTTAGTGTTAAGGTTAAGATCGGAAGCATGAACCCACCCTAAGACTCTTTAATTAAACGAAGAAAATACATTTGGCTATGCACATTTACCTACCCTGTACATTTCGCGTTTGTAAAGTTTTGTAAAATACAGGTCGGTCTTTTACAATTTAAATTTATACTAGGATATAAATTATTACCGAGCTTTTAGAAATAACGATTTCATATTATAACATACACCTTTAGTGGTAGTACTATGAATGTGATTTTTATTATGACTATACTGTTTTTGTTCTGTGTTATAAATTTTAATTTGTTAAAATAAATAGCATATGTACCTTTTTATTTATCTGCATTTAAAATATATAAAATTTTTATATTAGAATAATCTTTCTTTTTTCGACTCTTAATGTAACTTCCCAAATACCGATAATTCGTACAAGAACAACGCATGTGTGGAACCAGGCCGGGTTCAAAAGTAATATACGGTAATCGCAAAACATTTTCCGATGCACGTCTTCATATCGAAATTGACACTAAAGCCTATAAACTAGTAGTGGGAACTATCGAATGAATACTATCGAAACATTCGATAGTTGCAATTCATTCGAATAATTCGATAGCTAGTAAGAAAACATTCGTTGAAAACTATTCGAATAAAAATTATTGAATAGATGCGTCATCTGCCTTGAAATATTGTATTCTAGTAATTCGGCAGCAAAAACCATTCATTTATAAAATTCATTCATTTATGAAATTCATTTATTCGTCAGGATCGAATATAATAGAATATTAATCGAATTTTAGTTGTCGCCCGGCGACGTAGGTTTCTTTCCGAGAAACCCGACAGCGGTCGGTGGCAATGCTATGAAAGAAGCTGGCATCTTTGATTTTTTGCGGAGTCCGATAAAGATAAGGACACATTATTTTTTTTTTATTGAGGTGCTAGTATTTACACAGAAAATACATTATGAAGGGCGCTGTTGCCATATATAGGTATTAGTTGATATTAGCAAGGAATATTATTGTTTGGCTTTAGAATTTTAGTTCTTAAACTAAATTCTCGAGTTTTGTATTGCACTTCTTGAAATTGTGTGTTTAAAATGTGCCGAAGCATTTAAAGATTCAAAGCAAAGAGCTTGTAGCTTCCCTGATAAACTATTTTGAACGAGGACGTGACAATAAAAGTGCTTTATTACCCTTGATTGCAGTCAGAGAAGTAAGTTTTATTGGTAAGCACATTATACCACTTTCAAAGTTATTTCTACGTTAGTTTTTAGTAAATTCTGTGATTATTAGTTTGTAGTGTTAATGGCACCTTCTTACTTCTTATTACACTTGTGATATTGTAAGTTGTGCGTCAATAAATAAATAAATAAATAACCCATAACTCTTAGAGTAATCTTCATAATGGACTAGTTTTTACCAATATTATAATAAGTAGAATAAGCTATAAAAGAAATAAATCAATTAATTACTAAAAAATCTTTGAAAAATGATATATTTTTTTCCAATTCCAATTTTACATTAAGTTAAAAAACAATGGGTATAATCCATAAATCTATCACATCCATAAATCTAAACAAACAATCCATAAATCTATCACATCTAACAGCGCTGTCGTCATCGCTTGTCACTAAAAGTGCAGTTGATCGCGTGCATCTGAAATTGGGCGCATTCAGTAAACACACCGGTTACTCCACCGGTGCAGAAAATTAAAGTGAATACCAATGGTAAGTCATCGGTTGTGGTCACCGATCACTGGAGAGCCTACCGTATTTCGTTTCCGGTTTATTTACGTACCGATAACTTGATCGTTCAATGAAAAGTTATCGATAGGTCTTTACCGGTGCGTTTACTGAATGTGCCCATTGTTTTGCTATTACCGTACAGATCTAAAATTTCGCGGTGATTAACCCCATCCCACTCATTTCAACATTCTACAAAGCTCCCTCTACACTAACGTTTTACCTGACAGTTTTGAATGTCAGGTAAAACATGTAAAAAGTAGTAGTATACTTATAGGATACCTAATCTGTGATAGTAGTAAGTGTGTAAAAAATAGTATCGTTTGGTAATAATAATTAATAGATATTTATGATACAAGTGAGTTAACAGCATCATTAAGATACGCGTGTGAAAGTTGCACAACTAGTGCGTAGCATGAGTTGTGTAACCACACAAGTATCTTAATGGAGTTAACTCGCGTGTATTGTTCAATATTTTATCTACGTCTAACTATAAAAACACACAATGAATTTTAAAAATTATTATTTGTACTTAACTATATACCTATCCTAAAAATCAATTACCTTAATTCGGAAAGTATTCCCTCTGACATTGAAGAAAATACATTCAGAGCCATTTCTGGATTGCTTCCAGCAAGATCGAAACAGAATTACGAATATACATACTCTAAGTATGAAAAATGGCGCACCGAAAAAAAGTACACTACTATGGAAATGAAAAGGTACTCATAACATATTTTCCAATTTATCCGCTACTTATAAGCCTTCGTCTCTTTGGGCTTTCTATTCAATGATACGTATTATGATATCTATTACAGTTGAGGGTTGGAACCTTTGGTGTTACACAGCAAAATAAAACACTAAATCACCACAATACACCAAAACACTTTTACTTTTACACTGGACGCGCGTTTCGCTAACCATGTTAGCATCATCAGCAGATGATTATAAACTAAAATACAATCTACACCGAGCGTAACAGATTTCCGCCACTAGAGTAGTAGGAACAAAGAACTTGAAGGAATTGGACCGTTGTCTCTGTTCATACTATCTTTACATTTATTAATTCTGATGCTTTCATATGCATCTAATTGCCTGTAATTTGAGACTTGTTTAAGTAATTTTAAGTTATTAAGATCTATACAATGTTCTTTATCAACAATATGTTCGGCAACGCAAGAGTTATCAGGTCTACCATATCTTATCTGAGCTAAATGTTCTTTAAATCTAGTTAATATTGATCTTCTAGTTTGCCCAACATATTTCTGAATACAATCTTTACAAGAAATTTCATAAATACCCGACCTTTCCAGTAGAGGTGTTTTATCCTTTGGATTACCTAATAATTGTAATTTATTATTAGCACTATACACAAGTTTATAATTGACATTCTTAAAAATTCCTTTTAGACCACGGGATAACTGTCTATCAAACGATATTAAAAAATATTTTGACGTATCTTTCTCCGCTTGAAAAGTCGAATTTTCAGAAATCATTAACCTATACCTACGTTTTCTAATTATTTTATCAATTAGTGAAGGAGAATATCCATTACACTCATTCTTCATTGCTATATTCCTAATGTAATCTCTTTCTTTTTCATATCTTTCGTTGGAAAGTGGAAAACTAAGTATTCTATGAACTAAGAAATCGTCCTATTGCTGCCAAAAGTCACTAACTAACATTTTTTCCGAACAACCAAATTCAATCACTATGTTTTGAAGCGGAGAATCGATTGCAAAAGTCATTAACTACGATTTCTGGTTATTTATGTTTTATTTTAATACCGAATAGTCACTAATTATAACATCTTTATGCAATGCAATTCATCTTTAGACGCATTTTTCTCGGAAGTAATAAAAAGTAAATTAGTGACTTTGGGCAGCAATGGGACGAAATTTAAACTAGCCATTTTATGTTCAATACTATGATATGATTCATTAGGAATATATCTACGTGTAGTGGTATTTTTCCTATAGATATCAAATTCCAGGCAATTATTAGTATGTCTAATAACTAATACATCTAGAAATGGTAATCTGTCGTTGTTCTCAATTTCATGTGTAAATTTAATGGAAGGAAAACGATTATTTAACTTAGAAATAAAATTATCTATGGTGTCTGAATGTGTGTCAAAAACAGCAAAAATATCATCCACATACCTAAACCATACTCTTGGAAAATACTCAAACTGATTCTTAATCTCCACTTCAAACCTGCTCATGAATACATTAGCCAAAAATGGAGACAATGGATTACCCATTGCTGTACCTTCCCGCTGTTCAGAAAAGTTGTTATTAAATTGAAAACAATTTTGTTTCATACATAATGATGTAAGCTCAATATATTCAATCACAGTTTTGTTGTCGAGACCATTTGCGTTCAGTAATTCCTTCAAGTAGCCTAAAGTATGTGGAATTGGAAAACTTGGGAACAACGAAGATACATCAAAGGAGACGAAAATTTCACCTTCATGCAATGTTATATTTTTAATTTTGTTTATGAATTCAATATTATTTTTAACTGAGAAAGAAGGTTCATGATTAGGTAAATTTTCGAACTCCCTTGATAACCATTTTGCCAAATTATAAGTCGGAGAACCTACAGCCGAAACAATTGGGCGCATAGACTTGTCCGGTTTATGAATTTTTGACAACGCATACAATTTTGGTAACGAGGGATTGGATACTTGCAATTTTCTCTTTAAAGAAAAATCAATAAGGTTGTTACATTCTTTTAATTTTTTTTTAACATCTGTTACCATCTTAGACAATGGATTCTTTTTCAATTTTATATAAGGACCATTATCGATTAAGTTGTTAACCTTATCGTAATAGTCTTTTTTATCTAATATAACAACCTTATTTCCCTTATCAGCTTTTAGGTAGAAACAATCTTTTTAGGTAGAAACAAACACCCACGACGATTTCCTCCAAAGCGCTACCACAGTTGGGCAATGTAAACTTTAAACCTTTGTTTAATAAACTGAGCTCTTGTTTATCAAAAGTCTGCGAAGAAAGATTCCCTACTATGTTTATGTCTCTCTGGAAAATATGTTTGTATTATTATTCAAAATGGACATTTTCTTAACAAATTTTGAATTGATAACCACAAACATATTTCTTTGAAAGAGGCACCAACAACATTCATACTCTACATTAGTTAGCTTATAAATAAGTTTTTTGTAAAGTGTATAGGCTTCAATTTCAAGCATACTTCGTTTACTATACAGAAATTTGATTTCTAAATCAAGCCATTTTTGTTTTGCAATTTTCTCTACCTTATCACTAACGTTACTTTTCGGAATATCAACTTTAATAAAACTAGGATAAACTGAATTGGCTTTGCATGATTTAAGAAACCAAATATCTGCTCCTAATAACCTAATCTTAGTACTAAACTTACGATAAAGATTCAGTTCCGTTGACCGTGAAGCCATCGAAGATTATAGTTGAGGGTTGGAATGAACCATGGTTAGCGAAACGCGCGTCCAGTGTAAAAGTAAAAGTGTTTTGGTGTATTGTGGTGATTTAGTGTTTTATTTTGCTATGATATCTATTAAAATGAATATAATATATATGCTTCATCAGGCATTTACTTGAAAGATTATTCAAACTGTATCATTAACATTTATAATAAGTTTTCATGTTTTTATAATTATTATCAATAGAACAGTTTATTTGTATTTACTAGATATATTTTTAGTATATTTTTTTTTTCTTTGGTAGTCATCTAAACAAGGAGTGCGGTAATGAAAATGCGTGAGTTAAGAAGCTCTCATGCAGCGGGCGGGGCTTAACCCGAAAATTATCATCCGGGTGACGTCATGCGCGCGGAGAACCGATTTGCGACCGCCAAGGATCTTATTTAACCCTTATTGTATCATGCATCCCTTTTAGTGCCTTAACTTGGTATCAAAGATTAAAAAAATATACCGTGGGAAAAGTTGCGGTGAACAAAAAGTTCTAAATAGTATTCTAAAATAAACAGGAAAATGTAAAAGAAAATGCACGATTTTCAACATATTTTTTTTTACAAAAATAACCTCATAGGCGTGTTCCTAGGGTCGCGAAAACGCGCAGTGTGCCACCGGGCTTAGGCTTATCTAATTTTGAATTCTATGAATTATTATTGTTTCTAGGGAGTATCTAAATTATTAAAAAAAATAAACGACTAATCCTAGATAATAAATTTGGTATATTTCAGTTTATTACATAGCTAAAAAGTAAGACACTAAATATTGTTATATACAGAAATATACATAATTATAGAAAAAGTGACTTGTCTATTTGACAACTTTGAAGAGTATACTTACAATTTTCACGTCGATCCTTATAATTTTCATGTTATCTTGATCAATTAACAAAGAAGCTTGACCTAATATGTAGTACAAAAAGCCATTCTTAAATTATCTGATTTAAATAAAGACAAATTTTTTTATAAATATTAAAGACATTACACGTATAATTGTAACAAATATTTTAATTTATTCTCTGAAGTGGTACAACAAAAAATTAACTTAAGATTATGAATAAAAACCTAATTTACTTCAGAAAAGAAACTTACTAAAAATAAATAAAATCGATGAGGAAAAAACAGGTATGTACTGTATATCTAGATTAAAATAAAGTAACAATCAACAACTAATAAAATTTTAAAAAATAACTTTTAAAATTAAAATTTCATTTATATAACAAGCTATTTATTATAAATGTGCATTTTTTTGTTGGAAATATGAGTAAAATACGGAGGAAAGAAAAAAGTAGTTTTAATTAAAATTTGTTAGTTCTACAATTTTATTTTACTTCAAGCCAAGATAAATAATTTAATCTATCAAACATAACAAGTCTCAGTATCAGATTCAAAAGTAATTGAAATTAATATGATTCATATTACACGCAAACACAATAATAGAAGTTCAAGCCAAAGTTAATTTTTTATATTTATAAATTTTCATAATTATCTACCACACTTCGGATAATTATCAATTGAAGTAAACTGTTTTGTGACCCTTGTTGTAATGAAAATAACTTATTGACTCTCTAACAAAAGATATTTAAAATAAGATAAATAAACATTATTAATAAAGATGAAAAACTTACAACAAAGATCAACAGCCAAAATGATATTTCCTCTTCGCATTTATGCCAGGACCTATTCTATCTCAGCCAAAGTTTTAACCTAAGGGCATCTACACCATTCAAATAATAGCGAAATAATCTTTTGTCTCTGACAAAACCTAGTTTCTCGTACAATTTTAAAGCTGGCTTGTTTGTTACTTCAGTTTCTAAGACCACTTCATCTGCGTCGCCCATTGTCATTTCATGAATAGCCATTTGGACAAGAGTTGATCCAATTCGTAGTTTACGGTAATTTTGATCAACCGCCAACATTGCTATATAACCTCGACGGACTATTTTCCTATGGAGATCTAATTTACAAACTATAGCACCTACACATTGATCTTCACACATTGCCTGTAATTAAAGTAAGTATTAGAAATAATAGATTTTGAATAATTAGATATATTTTAAACATAAAGCTTCATTTGTCAAGATTCAGGAATAAATGTATTTTAATCTTTCCAGGAAATAATGAGTTTAGGACTATAATCCTTATATGAGAAGAAAGGCAAATGTGTTTTTAATATGCTTACCAGAAAACATAATTTCGGCCAATTATGAATAAAATATCTATATGTGTAAATTGAATATGGTTCAGACAGATCTTTCTGAATAATTTTCATGATCAAAGGCATTTGTAACTCAGATTCGTACTGTACAAATTCAATTTTCTTATCACATTGTCTTTTCTGCTCATCTGGGAAGTTATCCACTTTACTAATAACCAATTTATCTATGTTATTTGAAATATACAGGGGATCACACTGATCATCATTAGTACTATGGGATATTTTACTACAGGAAGGTGAGTTTATATCCCCGCTTACGGCGCTACCATCTGAATTATCAAATGATTCATTTTGGTAATCCATAGATTTTGTATGACTATTTTCGTCTATTTTTGATTCGTTCAAATTTTCATTAGAGTCTAGTTGTTCTTTGTGCTTCTTCTTTTTTAATTTTCTTGATTTACCTACATTATTTACATCGCTTAACGAGGATTTACTAACATCTTTACAAATTTCTATAGCTTCGGTACTTAAAGCCTTATGTTTCTTATGCACTAGACCATTTATAAATCCATTTTTGTTGCCTTCTTTAGATTCATTTTCGTCGACAATTTTTGAATGGCATTTTTCAACGAGATTTGACTCCGAAACAATTGTACTCATTTTTCTTCAATTCGAGAGTAAAATTATTGTAAAAATTGATATACACTATGACCATTTCTCAATTTCAAAAACATTCAAAACTCGAAAAGGGCATTTCTTGACAGCTAACGACCAGTCTCAAAATATTAGGTTATGTTATAAGTGTCAAATCAATGACATTTAATAAATTCCCTACATTAAAACATTACAACCAATCCGTAAATCGGAAATATTACTAATTTTTTTGTCGATATATATATGTTGGCAGATTCGCCTTATCTTATCTTATCCTTTTATATATGAATTATGAATATGATGTACATGCAAATCCTGCAAAGTTGCAGTTGCAAAATAGGTTATGCGGTGTGTTATGTAAATTTAAACTTACTAATAAAAATATTTTATTTTAATAACAAATACTTTATATTAATCCAGCAGAGCAGCATCTCATAAATGTTAGAAGTTCTGGTATACCGAAGCTGTAAACTGATATATTTTACATAGTAGGAATTATTCATTAATAAAAATAGATTTCAGGAAAGTATGTTATTGCTAAACTCCAGCCAAACTATTTCGTATTGGAGAGTGGAGATCTAAATGTAATTTATTATGTTTATTTTTAGTTTATCCAAGGAAATATTATATACCAGTTCTATTTTTAATCCATTCGAATTCAGGATATAATGAAGTGTGATTGCATTTAATATTAAGTGTTAAGTGGAGTTGTTTACTAGTTAACATGTCATTCCCTACAAAAGAGCAAAGAGCCAAATGTTGGGGCGCTAAAGATAAATATTGGGAATGTTTAGATACAAATGACGGTCAAGATAGTGTCTGTAAAGAGTTTAGGAAGTTATATGAAAATAGTTGTTCTGGACAATGGGTAAAACATTTTGACCGAAAAAGAAATTATTTGCTGTTTAAAGAAAAAATAGAAACAGAAGGGTATGAACCATTAAATGAAGAAAAATATAAAAAATAGTTTTCAGATATATTTTAGACAGTAAAGTTTTAGTTAAATTTGATTTGGTTGAAATGAATCACCCAGTGTTCTAATGTCTGTCCAAAATATATCTTCTTAGGGAAAGTATTGTTATTATTAGTAATAAAACCTTTGTTCTCATAAATTACTTGTTTTCTTTTTATTTTTACAGAATACCAGCTAAAATAAAGACTGAATCCCAAGTGTTTGAACCAAGAAGGGTGTATCATAAAATTGTAACAGTATTTTAATACTTATATACTTAAAGTTTTATAAAACAGTTTCAATTAAAATTAAAAAATTATTTAATTAAGATTAATATTTACTTGTTTTTCAATATTACAAATAATCAAATGCCTCTGAAACCTGAGGACGACCTTCATGTGGAAATTCATTCATATCAATGTGGACTGTAATAATGTGTTTTCCTGGTATCATAACTAATCCTAGCATTCTGGTATCTTCATTGAAAACAGTAGAATCTGGGGGTAGATACTCTGAACATGACCCTAGAATTACATTAGCATCTCTATCAGTACATAAAAATACCCCTACAAGTGTTCGGCCATCTGTCATTCTAATCTTTAATGTTTTATTTAACCATGAACGAAGTCTAAGTGCCCCATTTGAAGTCTAAAAATTAGAAGCAATGATAGTACTCTGGAACAAAAGGCACTTGTATATACATAGTAATTATATATACATTTATTGGTTTCCTAGGACTATCAACTGGAGAGTCAGTTTCTGGCTCAGAAAATGAGTGGTCTTCATCACTTCCTGGGTTACTCCCAGAGTTATGGTTGTCCATCTTCAAAATAAGTACATATTCAACTCACATAAAAATTAAAGAAAAAATTATTGAAAAATATACATTAAAATAATCTTACGATTTTGTCTTTTTCTCCACTAACGAAAGCAAACCAAGATCAAAAAATAATATAAATATTTAAAAATTTGCCAGTGAATTCATTTTGCCATTCAAAATATTTTTGATTTTATTTGTGATTTTCATGCCAAAAGCACAGAATAAAAACCTTCGATCTTCGATGTAAGTTAAGATTTTTTTTACCCTTAAAAAAGCTTTTTTCGTTACGTTTTTTAGACTTTCATTGATTTTTGTTTTATAAATCGTATTTTTATCGTATAAATAAATAATTATGCTTAAATTTTAATACGCCATAATTTTATTCTAAAAATTTGAAAAGTATCGATTGTTACCTAAAACTGTCGATAGTATCCCATCACTAGCGTGTCACTAGTTTGCATATAATTTATATGATCCGATACCCAAAATGATATATGAAAAATGTCAGATATGATAAGTATATCAGAATATGATTGAAATGATATGGTCCGTGGTCTTTACATCTATTATTTTCTGGTCCTAACCATTGTCCTAACCTTTGCCTTTACCCATATTAACTCAAAGCAAGACTGAAAAGGCAAATTTGAATAATTTTTTGCTTTTACCTATGGCTTTTACTGTCTCCTTTTGCCCCGCCCCCTGAAACCATTTTATCCTTATCCCCAATTAATTTAAACGTATTTGCTTATCCCATACATAAATATGATAAATATAACCAGATATAACAAGGATATAACTTGTGGATACAGAGTGTGGATATAATCATCTGCCCCTATCTTATCCTCTGTGGCCCTAACCAAAAAAAATTGTGCTTTGAAATTTGAAAACAATTTGATTATGAAATTATTAATAAATTATATTAGAATAAACCTGTATTAAACACAATGTGCGGAAATAATCCAAATAATAAACACAATATTATAAGCTTATATTGTAATTAAAAGGGTTGCTTTGGCAAAAATAATTGGAAATCTATCAAAACTATTTTTAATTAATTGCCTAAATATGTTAATAAGAACATTAACACTTCTTGCTAATAAACATGCACTGTGCAAAAGGTTAAATAGGTGAGTTTTAACTATTTAATAATATAAGTAATTTTTTTAAATAAATTATTTTAGGTTTTCAAAAATACGATTTTATTGTGACACCAAGAAAGATATAGATTTTTCTAAAATATCCGTAGATAAAATAAGAAATTTTAGTATTATAGCCCATGTAGATCATGGTAAAAGTACATTGGCAGATAGGTTATTAGAATATACAGGAGCTATTAGAATAAATAGTGGGCAAAATCAAATTTTGGACAAATTGCAAGTAGAAAGAGAAAGGGGTATTACTGTAAAGGCCCAAACAGCTTCTTTATTATATAAATATAAAAATGAAGTATATTTGTTAAATTTAATTGATACACCAGGGCATGTTGACTTTTCCAATGAGGTGAAACTAATTAATATTCACTAATAATTAACTGTACTTTTTAAATTATTAGGTTGCCAGATCATTAGCTGCTTGCCAAGGTGTTATTCTTTTAATTGATGCTAATGATGGTGTGCAAGCTCAGACAGTGGCAAATTTTTACCTAGCCTTTGGCCACGATTTATTAATTATCCCTGTATTAAATAAAATTGATCTTAAAAATGCTGATCCTGACAGAGTTACCAAACAGTTAGAAAATGTCTTCGATATCAGTCATAATGAAGTGTTAAAAGTAAGCAAGTATTAAGAGTTAAATTCATCATGTATAATATAGGATATATAAATATATTGTTTTTAAGATTTCTGCCAAACTTGGTACCGGTATAGATAAGGTTTTGGAAGCAGTAGTTACACGTTTACCACCGCCAACTGTTAATAAAAATGCACCTTTTCGGGCATTATTGTTTGATAGTTCTTACGATAAATATCGCGGAGTTTTATCCTTAATTTTTGTAAAAGATGGAGTGCTAAATGTAGGTGACACTATACAGTCTTGCTACACAGAGAAAGTATATGAAGTTAAGACTATTTCGTTCTTAAGACCAAATGAGGAACCAGTGCAAACTATGTAAATAAGTAAAATTTAAAATAATTAAATATTGTACTTATACAGGGTGGTCCGAATTGTATTCGAGAAACTTCGTCAGCATAATTCTGCTGATAAAAATATGTAAAAAAGTTCATATAATCCTAAAATACACACAATAGATCTGTAGACACAATAGATCGTAAGGTCGCGGTGATTAACCCACCTCCCATGTCGTAAAATGCCTAATTTTGGAGAAGTTTCATTTTTATTTCGATTTTCTCAAAATAATTTCTGAATTAATGTTGATATTTATTTGAAAATTGGTGTCTGGGTGTTTTTTGGCATGAGCCTGTGGGGTAGGCAACCACAGATACTTTATGTAATTACGAAATAGCTTATATATATAATCTATGGGAGTCAGTTGTTGTAAAGTAATGAACATGGCGGACTCACAGAGCTGCATGTTAAATAAATAAGAAGTTTATAACTTCGGGAATAATATTGTGTTTTACTTAAATACAAAAGAAAACATAACGTTACATGGCGCAGTTGTGGTAACTTCAAATTAACCTGCGAAATTCAGAAATTAAAATGGGTGATAGCCGAGGCGTGGCTCCTATGCAAATGGAGGGAAATGTGGCCGACAATTGGAAAATATGGAGGTCTAGATTCGAAAACTATCTGGTAGCCAGCGAAATTAATAAAAAAGATGAATCTATACAGTGTGCCCAGGTTTTACATTATATAGGCGAAGGTGGGTTCAAAGTCTTCACAACTTTTACCTTTGAAGAAGACCAGAAGAATAAATTAAAAATTCTGTTAGACAAATTTGAATCACATTTTCTGCCAAAGGAAAATTTAACATATGAAAGATTTAAACTGTTTTCATATAAACAGAAAGACGAAACCTTGGATCAGTTTGTAACTGAAATAAAGAAAATGGCCATCAGATGCAAGTTGGGAAGCCTACAGGAAGAGCTGACAAAAACAGTGCTGATTACTGGCATAAATAATCCGTCGATCAGGGAGAAACTTCTGCAAGAAGACGACAGCTTGAGCCTCGATAAAGCAATTGAAAAGTGTAACATCCTGTTAATGTCGAAAGAAAGAAGCGAAAACATGAGTCAAGTGAAAATTGATGCATTACAAAGGGGCAGAACAGGAACAATTCATAAGAAAAATAACCAAATGGGACAAAGTGGTGTACCAAAGAAGACAATAAATTCATGTACAAAGTGTGGACGATCCCATGAAATCAACAAGTGTCCGGCATTTGGAAGAGAGTGCAATTTCTGTAAAATTAAGAACCATTTTTCTAATATGTGCAGGAAAAAGAAGCAAAGTAACAAAAACAATAAAGTGAATGAAATTCAAAACACAGAACAAATTAATGTTGTAAATAAAATTAATGATAATTTTCTTTTTATAGGATCTGTAGAAGTAAATGAAATTAATAATAATAGATGGTTCTCTGTACTGGAAATAAACAAAAAAGAAATTAAATTAAAGATTGACACAGGAGCACAGGCAAACATATTACCGTTAAAACTATACAACAGTTTGGGTATAAAAAGTAATTTAAGACAAACACAGGTAACATTAACTTCATATACAGGTAATAATTTGAAAATTGTTGGTAAATGCTACATTCCTTGTAAAAAGGATGATAAAACCTTTAATTTAGAGTTTTATATAGTTGATTCAAATACTCAAGCTATTTTAGGGTTAGATTCTAGTCTGGAACTAAATTTAATTAAAAGAATAGATTCTCTAACAAAAAATTGTCAGTATAATTCCTTAATAAATGAATTTAGCGAGCTATTTGAGGGTATAGGTTGCATAAATGAGCCTTACCATATTGAAATTGACAAAAATGCCAAACCGGTGGTGCATCCAACAAGAAAAGTGGCATTACCTTTAATGGATGATCTGAAACAAAGTTTAGCGGAACTTGAAAAATCAAAAATAATTGAAAGAGTTCAGAAACCTACTGACTGGGTCAATGCTCTCGTTCTTGTGAGAAAGCCAGATAAAAAATTAAGGATTTGTCTTGATCCATTAGATCTAAATAAAGTAATCAAAAGGGAATACTGTCACATACCTACCTTAGAGGAAATTACAAGTAAATTAGCAGGTTCTACAATTTTCAGCACGCTTGATGCAACTCAGGGTTTTTATAGTATACTACTAGATGATGCTAGTGCTGATCTTTGTACATTTGGCACTCCTTTCGGGAGGTATAGGTTCCTTAGACTACCTTATGGCATAAAATCTGCACCAGAAGTTTTTCAGTCCAGATTTAAACAAATATTTAATTTAGAAGGTGTTGATGTATACATTGATGATATTCTTATCTGGGGTAAAACTAAATCGGAACATGATGAACGCTTGAAAAAGGTACTACAAATTGCTAAAGAAACTAATGTTCGATTTAATTTACATAAATGTAGGTTTGGTGTGAATGAAATTAATTATATGGGTCATGTTATATCGGGTGCAGGTATCAGTCCTGAAAATTCAAAGATAAATGCAATTACACAAATACCTAAACCACAAAATAAACAGGAACTACAAAGACTGTTAGGTATGATCACTTATGTAAGTAAATTCATTAACAATTTTTCAAGTGCTACTTCAGTTTTGCGTAACTTACTTAAAAAAGATGTTGAATTTCTATGGCAACCGGAGCATGATAAAGCTTTTGAGAATTTAAAAAATACTTTAATAAATAAACCAGTTCTTCAATTTTACGATGTCAATTGCGAAACAGTATTGTCAGTAGATGCGTCAAAAGATGGTCTCGGTGCAGTGTTAATGCAAAACCATCTTCCTTGTGCGTATGCTTCTAGGTCAATGACTGAAACTCAGACACGGTACGCTCAAATTGAAAAAGAGCTTTTAGCTATAACATTCGGGTTAAATAGATTTTATCAGTATATTTTTGGGAAAACTATAACTGTAGAAACTGATCACTTACCATTGCTTTCAATTTTTAAGAAACCTTTAAATAAATGTCCTGCTAGACTACAAAGAATGCTTTTGCAAGTACAAAAGTTTGATATTAAATTAAAATATAAGCCAGGGAAGGATCTTTTAATTGCTGATGCCTTGTCTAGAGCGTGTGTAGGTGAAATGTGTGATGATGAAATTGATGATGAAATTAATGCACAAGTATGTCTTATAGAATCACAAATTAATGTCACGGATAGAAAATTAAATGAAATTATTGAAAAAACAAAAACTGATAAAGAATTACAAGTGCTAAAACAAGTTATTTTAGAAGGGTGGCCAAATAATTTTAAAAGTACCAAACAGTGTGAAAATTTTTTCAGAGTGATTTGTCTGTACAGGGTGATCTTATTTTTAAAGGACAATCACTAGTTATTCCTCAGTCTATGAGAAAAGAAATGCTTGAAAGGGTTCACTATAATCATATGGGAATTAATAAATGTATTAAATTGGCACAAGAATCTATATTTTGGCCAACTATGTGTAATGAAATTAGACAAACAATTTCTCAATGTCATCTTTGTTTAAAGTATGCCAGGTCTCAAATGTCAGAACCATTAATTAATCATAAAATTCCGGAAATTCCGTGGAATAAAGTAGGATGCGATATATTTGAACTGCATGGACAAAAGTATTTACTTATTATTGATTATTATTCAAAATACATTGAAGTAGAAAAATTAGAAAATTGCTCTACTAGCTATACTACGGTTAAAATATTAAAATCTGTCTTCGCCAGGCATGGTATTCCTCTAACGGTTGTGACAGATGGAGGACCACAATTTTCTTCAGATTTGTTTCAGGCTTTTTCTCAGGAATGGGAATTTGATCATGTCATTAGTTCTCCGAGATATGCTCAATCGAATGGTATGGCAGAGCGCAATGTACAAACTGCAAAAACATTTTCAAAAAAGTATTTGAAGATAAAAAAGAGATATTTATTTAGCTCTTCTTTTATATCGTAATATGCAAATTCATGGAGCTTATTCTCCAGCTCAAATTCTAATGTCCAGAAAACTCAGATGTATTATTCCCAGTACAGAGGCAAGCCTTAAACCTAAGTTAATTGATACAAATAAATACAATACATCTTTATAAGATACTCAGGTTAACCAACAAAAGTATTATAATAAAAAAGGTGTCTTTAATTTAAAACCTCTTGAAGTTGGTTCACATGTGTATGTACAGGTTCAACCTAATTCTAGTTGGTCTCCAGCTTTAGTTTTAGAAAAAGTTAGGAATAGAATGTATAGAGTTCAACTTACTAATGGTTCAGTCTTGTTAAGAAATCGGAGGTTTATTAAGCCTGTAGATAAAGGAAAATCTGTAATACCTGTTAGACCTACTACATCTATAAAACCATTTGTACAAAATAATATTCAATACTTTATAGAGTTAGAACCAGATTGTGACTTAAATAATAGGGGTGAAGGTAGTAATTATAATGTTCAGGAGGAGACTAATGTAAATACAACGGAAAGTGAGGATGATAAGAGTGTAGAGACACGAAATGGGATGTCGGGAGATAGAAGTGATGTTATGAGTGAAAACGAACTAGATCTTGATAATTCTGATAGTAATAGTTCTGCATCAGATACAAACTCAGACTATGAGCTTAAATATTTAAATCCAGAAAAAACGAGATCAGGTCGTTTAGTAAAGAAACCTCATAAACTGAATTTGTAGACAGTTTGTTTATTTTTAAATGTTACTAGGTTGTTTATATAAAAAGCACGTTAAGTTTAATTTAAAGAAAAGGGATGTGGGGTAGGCAACCACAGATACTTTATGTAATTACGAAATAGCTTATATATATAATCTATGGGAGTCAGTTGTTGTAAAGTAATGAACATGGCGGACTCACAGAGCTGCATGTTAAATAAATAAGAAGTTTATAACTTCGGGAATAATATTGTGTTTTACTTAAATACAAAAGAAAACATAACGTTACAGAGCCATTCAATTTCGATGTCAATATGACTCCTACTTGTAGGGGGCGCTACCTAATATTTTTTAACTGGTTTGCAAAGTAATAGCTTTTTGTCCGTACCTGTATAAAACTACTGAGCGAAAAAATATACATTTTCGTAAATGTATATTTTTTACGTAAAAAAGCTCATTTGATAAAAATCGCTATGAGTAACCATTCTCAAGATATTCGGAATGTAAATTATGAAACAGTTTCTGTTGAACGCTTGGCACAAAAATATTTTATGTCAGTCTAATAACTATATATATCTTATCAACATGCTCAATTTTTGTTAGTGATGACATATACTATTTCGAGAACCATTATTCATAGCCATGATTATGAAAAGACTTTTTTTTAAGTAGAAAACGGCGGAAATGTATATTTTTCACTCGGTAATTTTATAAAGATACGGACTAAATGTTATTACTCTTCAAACCAGTTAAAAAATATGCAAGTGGCGCCCCCTACAAGTAGGAAGATCGAAATCTAATTTCCAATCAATCATCAAAAAATTACTAGATATCAATTTCATCCAAATATCGAGATTAGTTCCGAAATTATTTGGAAAAAATTTAAATAAAAATGAAACTGCTACACCCTGTATCTCCGAAACGAAGAGTTTTAGGGCATAACTTTATATGAACTTTTTACTTATTTTTATTTATAATATACTGCTGAACTTTTCTGGATACAATTCGGACAACCCTGTATAACATGTTTCTTGTTAGTGTAGCAGGACAAATAGGACTTATTGGTTGCAACATGCGATCAAGTAAAGAAGCTCTTATTGGAGATACAATACATTTAGTGTCTCAAAATGTAGAACCACTTCCTGGATTTGAGCCTTTGAAACCAATGGTTTTTGCCGGAGTTTATCCTTTTGACCAAGCACAGCATGTTAATTTACGAAGTGCTATAGAAAAGTTGGCTTTAAATGATTCAGCAGTTACTGTTGAGCTAGATACAAGGTTAGGCACATTCCCATGCCCTTCTATTTATTATATTATAGTCTAAGAGCTAGCAACGTTTTCGAGAAAGTATTTTAAGACGTCTGGCTCTTTGATATATCTTTTACTATGCTCTCTGGAACAGCATGCGGCCCGTATGGCTGTCGATACCCGTTACGTTCACTACTGTGCATCGGAAGAAGATCCTATATTTTTTATTAATTTAGTCCTATAAGTTCTAGTATTGAATATAAATCGAACATGTCTCCATAGCGCAGTGCGTAGAGTTTCCGACCACGAACCGATGTTTCAGAATTCGAATCCGGGTCAGGGCAAAGACTTTATTTTATTTTCGTTTATATTCTGATAGTAAAGTATTAAATAAATCTGGTGATTCAAAAAAAAACAAATATTTAATACTTTACTATCAGAATATAAACGAAAATAAAATAAAAAAGTCTTTGTCCTGACCCGGATTCGAACTCTGAATCATCGGTTCCTGGTCGGAAACTCTACGCACAGCGCTATGGAGACATGTTCGATTTTTATTCAATACTAGAATTTAAAGGACTAATAAAAATATAGGTAGTAGCAAAGAATATTATAGTTTTAAGAACTCTCGTGTGGAAGCTTTAGTGATTTGTCACACGGTGGCGCTTTTGAACATAATCGAAGCCTGAAAATGCTAATATTTTAAATTTTGAGGACTACGCGCGGCGATATTTCATACGGTGTTGCCAAAACATATTTTATTTCTCGATATTTAAAGACATATGTATTGATTATATATTTCGTATTCGTTAGTACATGAGGCATCCTAAGGCTATAAAAACGTAGCTATGAAAATAAAATTTTAGATTTTTAATTTTTTTGTACCTTCTAATAAAAATTACTTCTATTCCAATAAAAAATTAACTAGTATGATTATGTGTTATCTGTGCTAGTATTAGAAAACTGGAGTAAATACGGAGAATATTAATTCGTTCTCTAAGATGAACACTACTAAGTAATTTTTTAAAATTCGACCCATAAGGGGGTGTAATTAGATAATGGGGTGTAATTATACAAAAAAAATCTGTACCTACTAGGAGTATGAACTTTTGCACAGATGTGGCGCATTTGAACATTGATAAGCGATTTTTGGAAATGTATAGCCTAAGGGTAGTGAAACTGGGGGGTGAAATTTTGTACAAAAAATGTTAGTTCTAGGAGTATGAAATTTTGTACAGAGAAAAGAAACCTTTATAGATGTGTTAAAAAAATAAAATTATTTTAATAAGTATATGTATATACTTTTTTTAATTTCTATGTAATTTTTTTTCTTTAACAACGATGTCGAACGAGTGAACAGATGTTATTTACAGGGTATTCAAGCTGCGACCCATTTTGCTATATTTCACTATTATTCTCCCTATCCCCAACTATTTTTGGCCTCAGAAAATGTTTAGTATAAGAAATAAAATTATTTGCACTTTTTATATCTACGATTTTGTCTCGACTAGAGCCAGTGTTGCCAACTTTCTGAAATAGAATTTCCCACGAAAAAAATTTTTTTTTTCTAAAAATTCGCACGAATTACAAAATCAATTATAGAGTCGTCGAGAGAATCAATACTCTTTGGGAGGGGGTCTTTCGTTGCTGTTCATTTACACTTTCATCCGACGAACTAGACATTATACTGACTAAAACGTATGGAGATACTTAAAAACTAAATTTCGTATTATAACATCACATTATAGGCAAACAACGAATACCCTTTATGAATTTACCTTTCAAATAGATAAAGGTGGTGAAGAAATATTCAAACTCAATAGATTATACATTATATTAACTGAAAACGTACATTTTAATATATATAAAAGTTTACTATACTTATATACAATATAATGAAGTCAATGAAAATAGATCTAAAAAATAATGAAGTGAGACCTAAAATCTAGAGTTTGTTTTCAATATTACTGTGATCTAATGCATAAATTTAAAAAAAGTCTTAATAATAAACAAGATCACACTCAATTTTCCAATTTTTGAAATTGAACGTCCGTCGACTTGCAGTGATCTTGCTTAATAATTAAATTTCAAATATAGTGGCTTCTAAATTGATGGTCCTTATAACAACAAAGACAAACGTAAGGATACCTAACTTATATAATAACCAGTTGATTCAACCTTTGGCTAAACCCTTTGTATTGTATTTGACTAAGAGTGGGTCCCATAGGGGACCCTCCACTGAGGCCGCGAGGGCCTATTGTGGCTAAACCCTTGCTACAATACTATTTGAAACGTTTTCTTGGTAAATTTTATTTTTTATGGGAGATCGGGCAATATCGCATAGAAGAATCTTACCAGCCTACTTTTTGCCTGTTTTTAACTTGTTTGAATTTCTATTATGGTGTCTCCATCATTGTCTGACATGTAGAAATCTAGACCACCGATTTAGAATCACCAAGTCTGCATATACGATATTGGTCACTTTATTTCCGTGGTCTGCATTTTAATGCATAACTCAGAGATGACCAGTTGACAGACAGAGACTAAATAAAAGGCTGCATACAGTGTTGCCAGTTTGTACGTGATATATCTAAGCTATTTATTAATTTTGTTGCTTAATTCTGTTGCTTGAAAACTTGGAATAAAATATCTCCAGACACTCTTTACAAATACTATAGAAATATCTGTGGTGCTAAGGCAGAACACAATATGTTAAATCATACATATCGGGTTCTGCCTTGATCTTGGGTTCTTCTTGTTGCATTCTAAAACTATGCAGTGTCCCGCGCTACACGCCATAGAACTAATAAAATTTGTAATAAATTCAAACAGCTGTTAAGTTTGGCATTAGTAAAACCAACTATTATTATTTAAAAAAAAATCCTGTATGGGTATTTCGCCACTAAGAAAATAAAATAGTTTTTAATAACTATTTGTCAGCAGTTTGGTTTGGTTTGGTTAGGCCTAACAAACAAAAAAATGCTTGCTTAACGTTTCAGAAAGTTTATCTCCCTCCGTCGTCAGAAGCAAAAAAAAATACAAAGAATAAAGAAAAAAACTATTTAAAATATTTAAACGCACCTATTCGAGAACACTCTAGTTTTTTAAAACAGATGTGTCTACAAAAACCGTTGACGTTCTGTTATAAAGTTTCCGAAACGTTAAGCATTTTTTTGTTCGTTAGGCAAATTTGTTTATCAGTAAACCTAACTGCTGACATGTAGTCTCCGTTGGATTGACGCCCCAGCAGTGTTTACAAAAAATAACTACTTTATTTTGTAGATTTTCTTGCAGTGGCGAAATACCATAGGAATTCTTGGAGATATTTTTTATTATTTTTTTAGTTTCGCCAGCAACACAATGTAGCTTTTAGACCGAGGCTTAATAAGAATCTATTACAGCTATAATAAGATGAGTAACTAAATGTGGAAATTAAAGATCAAACCCTAGATGGCAACATTTTTCTTAAATGCACACTTGAGAGGTTTGAGATGTTGATGCAAAATCCGGCAATACCGCATAGAAGAAATGTATCAACCCAACTTTGTTCTCTTTTTAATACATTTGATTTTTCGTTAAACTGTCTCCATTAACATTAAACTGTCTCACGCGTTAAAATCCAGACCACCCTTGATGACGACCAAATCTATATACTTATACGTCTATTGTTGTCTTTAAATTAAGCTGTAGCGGACGCCTGAATAGCTTGAGATTTATTCTCCTCAGGTATAATAGGCTTTATGTCAGTAGTGCCATTTGCCTGCACCTCGCTACGCATCTTGCATTCAGCACAGTCTGCGTCATCGCATTCTGAACTAGAAGACGATCCGCTCGAACTACTGTCCGAGTCTGAATCAGATCCACTGTCAGATTCTTCCGAAGAATCGTCGAGCATGGGTACTTTTATTTCATCGTAGCACATGGTATTTAATGGTAAATTGTTTAATTCTGTGGGTGTAAAGTTGTTGTAATAATCGGTAAATTGTCCTGGAACTAACGCGACCGGGTAATTTCCAGTCTTATCTTTTGGTTGGACTCTAGTTTTTGATTTTGGATAGTGGACAGTCAAGTTTTGGAGGTCCATGGAGGCCTTTCTTTGTTCATTTCTTTCCTGAAATGTTAAAACCACCATAATATAAGTCCATTCTTTCTCTTTGAATTAAAAATGCTAAGGAATATACTAACAAATTCGGTAAGACCACGGGAATCGGAAGACGTCGAAGAACCTTTTAAAACCGATTGATATAATAATACACATATATAAAAATATTAAAAAAGGATAGAACCGTTTCCAGACACACAAATCTCTTTCCAAAAAAAATATTTTTTCTTGAATTTTAACCTACACCATTTAAAAATCATTCTTACTCAATATAAAAAAAAATGACAACCTTCTTAAGGCCAACCGGCAGTAAGCGCCAATAAAAAGTAAAGAAGGGTACGGGCCAAGTAATGACGTGTAGGGCTTGACCTCGCCAAAATTATCATTGATTTGTCATTCACCAATCGTCGCGCGTCGTTGACGCCGTTATTTTTTCGATCATATAGTATAAAATAGGATAGACAAAATAATTTGCAGCTTTTCTTTTATACTGAGTCAATAACCGTTATTATTAAAATTGTTAAAAACCGTATTTACTAAACAAATATTTTAATACAAATATTTAATAACAAAAAAAAACGCTACTGAAACAAATAAGCCAAAATGATATATTCTAATTATTTTTGACAAGTGTCCAAAAAACTAAAATGCCAAAATGTTAGAGCAAAATTGTAGTTAGTAAGTAAACGAATTTCATATTTGATTTGTTTGCTACTCTATACCGTGCTGGCAACTGTTACTTTTGGGTCGGAACTTACATGTCGATGGCGTAGTGCTGATAGGTCGTAACCCACAAAATAATGAAAATTGAGATTTTTGCGCCAAACTTAATTTAACATGCAGTTCTATGTGTTGCCAAAATCTCATAACCCAAATCGAATTCTAAAACACTCAATCCCGCCATTTCTAACAAGTCTTAACCCGTGTCTGTCATTTATTTTAATTCTAAATTGTCGTATACCACAATTCCGTCTAGATAGCAAAGTGTGAGTTGTGGGTGCTTAAATTGGTCTATAAATCAGGAACAAAATAGGTAATTAAGTAATTGTTTTTTTATACATAGGTGTTAAAAAAATGTTTTTTAATCATATTTTAAAATAAAATGAAAAAAGTGAAATACTTTTTTTTCAATAATAAGCTCTCCAAAACCACAGCCAAAACTAAGTGTGGTTTACGATATATTTGAACCTCTGTGTTTAATCCGGTATTTTGTGGGTTACTTCTATTTTCTTTTTTAATGCAGGTGTAATAAAAAAATATTATTTTCCGAAAATCGTTCAGAAATATTGATATTTTTGATGACATTTTTAATCGGAAAAGTTAATATTCTTAATATTAATATACGGACAATAACAGTAGGGAAAATAATGTTGATTGTTGATATTGTACTGTACGGAAATACTAACGTCAACTGAATATTCAAAGACTGAAAAATGACTTAATTATTGATTTATTTCAAATAATTTTCGATTTTCGGAAAAATAGTATGTATACCTCGTAGGAAATTCGACATTCGCGGACTCCCGTATTGCCAGTCTCGGCTTACGCCTCGACTGGCAATCCTTACTGTCATCCGGGAATGTTTTCCAACTAGGTATACGATAATATACTATTGTATATACCATTCTCTCGTAAGCCTCTATTGCATTTCTTACAATGTCGTATCCCACATTATCCTAGTTAAATAATTAAAAAATTAGTATTTTTACAAAGAATTTACTTAGTAAACATTACTTACACATACATTTAAAATATTTTACGTAAATAAGCTTTTATCACCATGATATGAAGTTTTTTGTGTCTCCTGTAAAATTTTGTTAAGTTGGGTTACGACCTATCAGCACTAGACCATCGATGTGTGGAAGTAAATCGCATAGGGATCTTATTAAGTCGGAATGAGAGAAATGCAATGGTGCGCTGTTGCGGCGTTGCCGGTACGCCTTTCCCTATCAGGTATTTTTAAACAACTTTTTGTTCGAAAAGATAACTAGATAAAATCATTAGATATGTTTCTGAGCATCTGAAATGGAACTATAAGGATATCGTTAGGGTATCCATTTTTTATAACGATAAAACGTCAGTAATCGCGATAATTTAAAATCTCAACTTTTTAACACATAACACGCCATAACTTAAGATATTGATTTTTTTTATTTTCTTTTACAATATGTTTAAATAAGAAAAATTCGATAAGGTTGTTTTTTTCCATTCAGAAATTTTTAACCACCCATCCATTTACTTTTAGTACATAGCAATTTTCAGCAATAATGTAACTTTTTTATTTATAAATATTTTTACATACTGTCTGCGAAGAAAATATAGCAGAAATGTTAAGAAAGTTTTTGAAAAAACTACAATCGTTTTTAATAGATTTTGAGATATCGATTCATTTTGAATTCAGAGTTCTAATAGCGCAACCACTGTCGAACACCAACTCAATTCCACTTTACTACAAAGTCTCGTTAATAAATAAACAAATAAAGTATCGCGAGACGTAATTAAATCGTAAAGCTAAACGCATGATGTACACCTTTCCCTAGAACTTTAGGTACTGACAGAGGTACTGATTGGGTCGACCGGTGGACTGCGACAAATCTGCTATATCCCCTTCCACGTCTCTTAGCAATGTGCGCAGTTTCTCGGTTTAGTTCGTGCGTTTGGCAACGTGTTTACTGTTCTCTCTTTGTTTAATACATTATAAACGCATTGTACTCTTCTTACATAGGGAAATCTCGACCCAAGACTAACCTTTTTGAATATTTATTTTTCCTTTTTTTGCTATTGGCTATTTTGTTAGCTTAAAGCTGATATTATTAATATTGTTAGCATATAAGGAATTGATTATTATATTGTTAATTTTTTTTTGTTATTGGTTAGCTTTGGCTATTAATAAAGATTTATGTATTTATTTATAAACGCATTGTACTCTGCTTACATACGGAAATCTCGACCCAAGACTAACCTTTGCCAGCCTTTGTATAATTATTTTTTGGTGAATAGTTGTTCCATTATTTATTTTGTATTTAATATGGAAAACGGCAACGATCACACGCTGCGCAAGCAATTATTTTTGAATCCATCCTCTAATATTCACAATAATGTCACTCTAATTTATGAATTAGAGTGACATTTTAATTATCTGGAGATGTATATTGTTAGGGCTTAATATATGTATTAAGCCCTAACAAAATACATTTCCAGATTTATACACTTTGCATAAAGTCAATTATAAAATAAAAAGTCGAAAAAAACTGCGTGTCCATTACGTCGCTTCCATGTTGAAGCGACATAGTATTTGACTTTAGTTAGTTTTTAACGCAATGATTTCTGTACGAACGTTAAAAAGTCCTCAGTCTTACCTTATTAAATTGCTTATTCCACTGAGCAGCGGACTGAATAGCTTGCTCTATTATGTCCATTTTCTCAGTCCCTTGTTTTAGAGCTTGTTGTGAGGAGAGGGCTTTTTGTTTAATTGCCAGTTCTCTGGCCTGTTTTTCACGTTGTGCTTTACAGTATTCTTCATATTTTTCCTAAACAGATTAAAAATTCTTTAATTTTTGATAAATAATTTAATTTAACCATTACCTGAAAGTCGGAATACATAATATCCAAAATATCCGAGGCATTGACTGCTGTCAGGCCTAAGTCGCACAATGTCTCTGTTGCCAAGGCATTTTCTTTAAGGTAGTCTCTTTCTTGCATATCTACCGGACGTCTTGCAACGTTGGGGTACTTTCTTTTAAACGATTTAATACCCAGAAATTGGGCCACCTAGAAAAAAGGTGCCTCTAAAATTTGTATAAAAACTGCCCAAGAGAGAGAGATAGATAGATTTATAATTAGCGTAAAGAAAACAATAGATTTTCTAGTTTTTTCTTATTATTCTCGAGAATATTGAGAAAACTAGGATATTCAAGAAGATTAAGAACAAAAGGAAGAAAACAATAATTAAGAACAAATTGATAAATATTCAGAACACATTATCCTTTTATCTGGGCATGTTTACATTGCAGAGTAACTATCAACAATACATACTTCAAGTTGCAAATTAAAATGGCAAATGAGTAGCTAAATCTATATAACAGCAGTATATTATATTAGTATAATGGGGAATTCCCGAACTTTGGCGAAAAATAACGTTGTGAGCATTATAAATGTCTATAAAGAAACAGCCAAAGAACAATACCTGCTCTTGTAACATAAATGGACCTTGTCCATTCCACATATATTCCGCTAGCTGATCTACAGTGAGCACATTTGTATCTGGTTCCTGGAAAACCTAAAAAAAAACTAGTAATAAATTTATACCCCGTGTGTTATTACATCGTCGACCTGAACATAGGAAATCCCATATAAGTTTTAAAAATGATGAATAAGTTTTCCACATTTTATTTTACAGAAAAAATCTTTAAAATGAGCAATGGCGCAGCCCCAGAAGACTGGTGGAGGTCATTTAATATTGGTTTTATCCAGAGATAAACGAAACATGTTTAGATTGGAAAGTGCCCATAAGAACAATGTAAATACTATTTGGCGCTATTCTTGCAACGGTCGCGACCCAAAGCTTTTGATAATTTCGGAGCGGTTCGGCTTTTTACGGAATTATGTCGCCAAATATTGTTTATTAAAATGTATTATTTTCTTTTAATTATTTAAATAAAATACAGTGTTTTGCATATAAGAAACTTTATTGTATATACGGACATGTATGAAATACTTATGAAACATTAGAAACCGACGTTATGCCACGATCTACGATGATTTTTGCAGTTCACAGTTCACACAGCTTTTTAAGTTTTTAATGCCACTTTTTCACAATTATCACGGGTTTGGGTAAATAAACTTCAAATTAAACTCACAAGATAGCAATAATTACTTTGAAAATGGTCGCTTTAAACACTTTTCGGTATTTTATTGCAATGAGGACGGTTTAAATTTTGAAAAACTTTATAATTTTTGAAGATTCTGACTTTGGCAAGAGAAAATTCTTTCTGTTCTTGTTTGCGGTTGTTCTTAGCAACCGCTATAGCAGCGCCAGATTCCCGTACAACGTATGCGACCCAAAACAATTATACGTTTTAGCGGGAAGCCGTGCTTTCCAATCTAAATGTATTTCCTTTATCTATGGTTTTATCCTCAGATCAATATTATCTTATAGTGACCTAAGCCCCCCAAAATACTTGAGCCCCTCTAAAAGTCTGTGTCTAGTTGCGCCACTAGTTATGAGAGATAGAAAATACTAAATTAGACGAAAATTTAAAATAATCCGGTCCTGGTTAAACTAACAACAACGTTGTAAGCGTACGAGCATAGATGTTTATATCTGAGCATTCGGAAAGGATCAGTTCGTGTCGGCTCATGGTCTGAACACTCCTTTAGGAATATTTAAATAATTTAAAATTTTGCAACTTCAAAATTCGCTAAGGAGCGGTACAATGTTTTTGAGCTATTTCTCCAAGTATTCTGGTACTTGCTTGTATTTCATCTTACAAAGACAGAATATTTAATCAATTTTCATTTATTATTTCTGGATGATCCTTATATTCTTCTTTTTATATTTATAGAGTTTAATAACTGTTCCTGTTAGGATTTTTCGTTATACATTGAGAGTATTATAGTAGTTCTTTTTACATTTAGAGCCTATTTGGAAAATATACAGAAAATAATTATTTTATAGTCTGTAGACTATTTCCTTCATAATACCACTAAACTATTTTTTTTGCTTGTGTTATATGCATAATTCATATTTACAAATTCAAATTACTTTTGGCACGTAGCTATAAAGTCAATATGACAATAAAATACTTTTTTTTAATTTATTTTGGCAACAATAACGTTAATTTATATGATTTAACCTTTGAATAAGAAGACTAAGGAAGGAGCATAATGCTATCCATGTATTCATGCATGGTGGGCGGAAAAGCCACCATAAAAGCTCTCTAGGGTGGGGATCCTTGACAGTTCTGTTTGACGATTCATTTGACACATCTGAATTTGATTTGAAATTTTGTGGATTTGTCAGTCTTTACGGAGCTTATTTTATGTTATTTATTATTTATTCTACTACTGATAGTTGTATAAAGGTAGTAAATCTAGATGGAAATTGTGGCAGAACTTAAATTAACAGTGACACTATCGCGATTTATCGAAAAGACTCTAAAATAGTTGGTTGTGTAGCGTGCGGTACATCTCGGCAAAAATTGAGTGAAATAATGGAACAACTTTTCGCTAGTAAGTGACTATATAATATACATACGTGTAGTAAACCGATCATTTATGAAATTCACTTAAATTAACTAAATTATATATTTTTCTTGCATTTTTAGCTTTTATTTATTACTTGTCAAAGATTAGATGTCAAAGAATTTAGATACGTTAATTTGACTTACCTGCTTCAGTAACGTATCGGATGTTTGTGTTAATAAATACTTATTATAACTTATCTATTTTTATTATAATTATATATTTTTATAACAATTTTAATAACTACCAACATTTATTCACAACGTAAAATAAAACAACAAATTATTGAGTCTACCCCACGTCTACCCTACATCATAGTTTTACATTTTTTAAATAAAATTAGAACGGCACTGATAAACCGGAATTTAAGTCGGCCATATTTGAGGCCCATCGCGGTGTACCTAAGATTTTTGATATGCTCCTTCCTTAGTCTTCTTATTCAAAGGATTTAACATTAAAAAATTTAATTTGAATAAGGTGGCTGTTATTTTTTTAATTATTTTTAGTATTTTTTTATCTTTCAAAACTTCAAAAGGAATTCGTAGAAGCTATATAGACTAAAATGTACAACTGGCTTCATTTTAAGTTCTTTAAAAAGTTCCAAATAAATTTTTCTGCAAAATAAAATGGGAAAAACTTATTAGACATTTTTAAAATTTACATGAGATTTCCTATGTTCAGGTCGGCGCCGGCGCGGCGATGCAACATACTGTATAGGGTATCCAGTTTTGGTTGAAATCATCTCCGTTATTCGTGAAGATAGAAGAGTGCGGTTTGCACAAACCTTTGCCACTTTTTTGTCAAACGAAAGATGCCGCAAACTAAATTTTTATAGCCCTCTTCGTTTCTGAGCTACAGGGTCTTTTTGAAAATTTTGCAATTTGGGATACCCCCTGTATCTCTGTTATTGTTAAAGGTAGCGAAAAGGTAAAAACTGTTTGTTGTAGAACTTTTTATGTAGAATACAGTAGCGTACTCTGTTATTCTACAAAAATAATAGTTTTAAAGATATGAACTAAAGTTATGTTTCCTTAAATGGAATACCCTGTATATTTATAAATTATATGATCTAGCTTGCCAAAAGCTTCTCAAAAATATATATCACTCTATATTTATTTTTACTATTTACTGCAATATTTAAAAAATATATATTTAAAGATCATATTTATTAGTAGGCCATGATTGATTCTTTCAGCAAGATGGAGCTCCCTCTCACAACTTAACTTACAATGAAAATATTAGAATTTTGTTAAATTTTTATTTCTCAAATCAATGAATTGGAACCAATGAACCCATATGGCCTCGCTGAGTCCTGGATTTGCCCTTTCTTGATTCCTGATTTCGTGATTTTGGGGATTTTTGAAATATGAAATATATCGTAGCAACTAACAGAATGTCGAATACCTGGAAAATTCTTTAATAATGCAAGCTTTTAGATATTTGCAAACCCATCCTGTTATAATTAGTTCTGTTATCACACTACTAATAAGAAAATGATATATATTAAATATTGCCGTAAATAGTGAAAATAAATATAGAGTAATATATATTTTTGAGAAGCTCATAGCAAGGCGGATCATATGATTTATAAATATAAAAAAAATATGTATATATATTTTGAAAATATATATACATTTTCAAAATTATTTTTTTCGTAGAAAAATAGACTACGCCACTGTATTCTACGTAAAAAGTTCTACTAGAATCAGTTTTCACCTTCTCGATATCATCCATAATAACGGAGATACGGTGGCTGTTCCGAATTGCAAAATTTTCGAAAAGACCCTGTAGCTCAAAAACGAAGCGGGGCTATGAAAATTTTGTTGGCTGCATCTTCCGTTTGACAAAAAAGTGGCACAGGTTTGTGTAAACCGCAACCTCCTATCTCTACTAATAACGGAGATACCGTATGATTTCAACCAAAATGGGACACGCCGTACATAACACAGGAAATGAACAAAAACGTACCTCTAAGCGCGGCGCCTTTGAACTTTTAGATTTACCCCCACCGACGCTTTCCGCGCCCAAGCTACTTTGCGAATCCTCGACGATGGTTTCTGGCTGCGCGGCGGTTTGCTTGGCCGGCGTCTGCGCTCTGGAACCAACCAGATCCGCGCTCATTCTCGTCTCTTCGTCGATCATTACAACATCGTCGGACGCTATCGAATGCTCGAATTTAGCCTGGACCACAAGGGAACCCTCTTCCGAATCGACGGCCATAGGTTCGGGGACGAACTTCTGAGGCGATACCGCCGACTGGTTTGAAGTGCTCGGAAGTGACAGGTTTGAGGTTTCTATCTGTTTTAAAGACTAAAAAAAGGAAAGAGTTTAGTTAAATATGTATTTCTTTTAAAATTTGGAAAAAAGTACTTGATTGCTGGTTAAATTACTATCTTCTTCATCAGTAATAACGATTGGCTGAGAGATTTTAACATCTTCTGTAACAGAATCAAATAGACCCCTCGGACTTTTCACAGTACCTCCAGCTTCTTTTACGGGTTCGTCTACTAAAGATATTTGGGGCTTAGGAGTTCCATACCTTCCATATCTAAAATATTATATGGGTTATCAGTGAGAATATATAACATGGGGATTTATTACAACCTTTTATTCGTTTTAGACTTATCTGACGAGGTTTTTTCAGCTTCTTCAGCCGCGATTCTCGCCTCACGTTGTTGTTTGGCTTGTTCCTGTCTTTTCTTCTTCATTTCAGCGGCTTTGGCTAATTTTTCCAAACGTTTTTCGCGACATTTTCGAATAGCTTCTAATTTTCTCTGCAAAATTGATACCGTTTAGTAAAATGTATGATAAGGGGGTCCAAAAATTACTGTAGTTCTGAAAACATGAAAATCAGCGATCTGCATTTCAATGAAAAAGACAAAGGCAATTGAGTTACGTTAGAATCAGTTGATACAGATATAAAGAAATGTGCAGTTACCAAACGTTAAAAATTAGGGATGTAATAATAATTATACTGGCGAACTAAAGCCTGAATCTAAAAGTCTGATAGCACAAGAGCCTCATTATAAATGCAAAAGGCGTGATTTTGGGCCCTTATCAACACACTTATAAAATAATGTTTATTGGTTTTGTAATGTCACTGTCATTGAAAAGTCATATTATTATTGTTTATTGACGTTTACTCTAGCCCTTATTATCTAGTTCTGCAAGTATTGGCAATTGCTGCTTTAATTGATCATGGATTGATCAGATATCAACTTAAGGATTTAAAACCATATCTGCTAGAGTAACTACCCAACAGACACTAATAATATCATGTTTCAAAGACAGTGACATTATCTTTATTACATAAATCATAAACACTTTCTACTTTATAGGTCTGTTGACTAGGACCAACAGCAAAGGCATGACTTTAATGTAAAAAAAATCGAAAAAATGTTAGTGTCTTCTTCAAATGCGAATATCTCCAAAAAAATAAAGCTATTAAAATGAATCAAAAAACAAACTATCGGGAAAAGACGTACTTAGACGATAAAATTATTTTTAAATTCCTTGCTTTGTTATCGTACTCCACAGGGTGTTTCAAACTTTCAAACTGACAAATATTAATCCTGACCTATCCTAAACATCTTATAACAATGTTCAGTGAATTCAAACTTTCCGAAATGGTTTAGCCATGATCTCAAAAAATGTATTAGAGAGAAGAAGGTTAAACATAGGCTGTATCGGCGAACGGGGAGCAGGGATGCTTATCTGGAATTTGTCTGCTTGAGAGAGAGGTGCAGGGCGTTGAGGCGGGATTGCTACTCTAGGTACATCAGAGAAACGGAGTCTAATATAGCACAGGACCCCAGAAAGTTTTGGAGCTTTGTGAATAATAACAGAAAAGCATATGATTTGCTTAGTACAATGTTTTTCAATGACATTAATGCTGATAATGGTAAGGATATTTCAAATTTATTTGCGGATTCCTTCTCATCTGTGTACTGCGAAAGTAATTTAGTTGTACCCTCTTGCATGCCCGACTTTATGAAAACTATTAATGTAAAACAGATATCCAAGAATGCAATATTTTCTGTACTTTCGGGCCTTCCAGCTAAAGTTAATCCAGGCCCTGACGGCATACCGAATGTGTTTCTGAAGAATTGTATATATAGTATAACTAACTCATTACATATAATATTTAATATGTCTTTAAGACTCTCGGCTTTTCCTAGGCTCTGGAAGTCTAGTTTTTTAATCCCGATTTTTAAGAGTGGCAATAAGTCTGATATTAAAAACTATAGAGGCATATGTAATCAGTCGGCAATTCCAAAACTTCTAGATAAGCTAGTCTACGAGGATTTGCTATGGCAATGTAAGGCCATATTAACAGACTGCCAGCATGGATTTTCCCATGGTAAGTCGACTGTTACAAACTGCTAGGATCAGATATCAGACGGCTCTGTTACACGACTTAGAGAATGAAAACCAGGTGGACGCAGTCTATACGGATTTCTCTAAGGCGTTTGACAGAGTTAATCATGTTGTCCTTCTGGAGAAGCTGAGAGCTGTTGGCTTTTGTGATGATTTGGTTGGTTGGTTCCATAGCTACCTGACCGAAAGAAGGCAGGTAGTTAAGATTAATAACTTTACTTCTTGAGAAATCTCAGTGACGTCTGGTGTTCCACAGGGCGCCCATTGTTCCCCTTTACTGTTTAACCTATTTATCAATGATATTGTGTCGAGTGTTAGTAATTCCTCCTGCTTGTTATTTGCCGACGATATGAAAATTTAAAGGGCTGTTTCTAATGTTGATGGTTGCCAACTTTTACAGAGAGATTTAGATAGAATGGGTGACTGGTGTAAGGTGAACGGCCTTTCCCTAAACGCTAGTAAATGTTCAGTTATAAGTTTTTTCAAAAAAAGATGACCAGGGATTCTCTTTGATTATGATTTGAATCATGTTCATTTGACACGGGTGGATTTGGTCAAGGACTTGGGTATAAGCTTTGATTGTTCTCTTTCTTTTAATGAACACATTAATATAATTGCAAATAAAGCTTTAAAAACACTGGGTTTTGTATTGAGAAACTGTAAAGACTTGTCGGTATGGACTTTGTAGATAGTATATTGCTCATTGTGAGATCAATTTTAGAATATGCATCTGTTATATGGAATCCTCAATACGATGTATCTAAGAAAACAATAGAAAGGGTTCAAAAGAAGTTTGTAAGGTATTGCGCTTCCAGACACAATCAAGAATATAATTACATTATCAACTTATACCAATTAAATTTAGAGACTCTGGACAAAAGGAGATTAATCTATGATCTTTTTTTTTATAAGATTGTTAATGGCGTATATGACTGTCCTGAGATACTTAGACAAATTTATTTCATAGTTCCATTTAGGCCATTGAGAATTAATGATTTGTTCTTTATTCCTTTGCATGGTACTAATTATGGAAAGCATTCTCCAATTCCAAGGGAACTTAATTCTCTGAACAGGTTTCATGCTGTTGACATTTTTAATGACTCTTACTGGGCATTTAGGAGGAAGATTAGAAATGGGAGTGGTGATTGATGGGTGTGTTAATTCTTCTTTTTACTGTATCGTTCTTCTCTTATAAGTGCTTATTGTTTTTTTTTTGTATTATTTTTTAATGTTTTTAAGTATCTTTATACGATGTGAAAGAAAAAGAAAAGACATTTTTTTTCTTTTTTTTAATATTGTTTTGTAAATTTTGTAATATAATGGGGTTTCCCGTAAATAAATAAATAAATAAATATATAAAAATAAATAAATGGCGCGAATTTTTCAAAGACTCTTTAAAGCTTAGAAAATTATTTAAAAGATAGTTTATGCAAGACTGATTGATAATAATCAGCTCTAAAACTGTCAAGAAGTTCAATAATAAACGTAGTAGTTTTCTAGTTACAATGATAAACGCAGCACAATAAAATTGTTGAAATACGCGTGTTATGCTTTAACATACCTGTTTCATTAGCGCCTTCTTCCTTTCTTCTTCACTATCATCACTAGCTACAGCTGCATCGTCATCTCCGGTTGCCTCTTCCAAGTCTCTACCTTCTGTCATGTCAACTCCACTCTCACTTTCAACAAGCTTTTCCTCTACTTTAGGTTCCTCTGATGTTTTACCCCCATCACTATTTTCAATTTGTTTAACCTCTGGATTAGTATCGTCATCGTCGCTTAGTATTATAACGGTATCAGTAAAATCGCTGGCGTGAAATTGGGTACTAGTTTTTGTTGACTTTGCATTACTGGGGACCTTAGTAATAGTAATTCCTTTAAGATGCTCTCCTAATTTCTTTTCAGTAATCTATTTAAAATAATATACGACATTTTAGCAACAGAGATATAATATAGATCATACCAAATAAACTTTTAGTAACGTCATTAAGGATGACCGGCACAGCGTTGCCAATTTTTACATATTTTCCTTTAATCACAATATTTTAGGAAACAAAAATAAATTAACTATTAATATATAAACAGTTATTATAACAAATATATAAATATTCGAATAAGGTTACGATGAGCTTTTTGCAACAGCTATTAAGTTAAAAAATGTCTATACCTATGTGGCGGATTCATCTCTCCAAAAAAGCCTATATGGGTATTTCGCCACTGCTAGAAAATCTACAAAATAAAATAGTTATTTTTTGTAAACACTGCTGGCGTTAATCCAAACAGAAACTACTTGTCAGCAGAATTTGCCTAACAAACAAAAAAATGCTTAACGCTTCGGAAAGTTATATCTCCTTCCGTCGTCGGAAGCAAAAAAAATATTTAAATTGAACTATTCCAGAACACTTTAGTTTTTTAAAACAGATATGTCTACAAAAACCGTTGACGTTCTGTTAAAATGACATTATATCAAGTTAAACTTCAAAATTAACAATTACCACCTGATAATAATTACTTAATAAGGTAAAACCAAAAAGCCCCAAACTTTCTGTATGATTATTTATAATTTTTATTTGTTATATTTATTTGTTATGTTATTTAAAATAAAAAAAAAAACGAAAACGTTAAGCATTTTTTTGTTCTTTAGGCAAATTTGTATATCTATATAATTTATATATCTGTAAACCTAACTGCTGACAAGTAGTTTTTGTTTGGATTAACGCAGCAGTATTTACAAAAAACAACCCCATATAGGATTTTTTGGAGAACTATTAAGCTATCTTGTATACTTCGCACTAAAAGAAGTTCTAAAAAGTACAATGTTCGACTGCAAGGTCTGCTAGTAAAAAAAATAAGCTTAAAGTATTACAACACATTTAAACCAAAAATTCGTAATACAAAACCAAAATGTCAAAACGAATGACAATGTCAGGACCAGCTGAATTCCCAGAGGAAAATTTAAATTCCAGTTAGTCACCCCGGCGCCGAATATGTCCATTGTTGGCAATTATTTAATTTAACAATCGCGCCCTCGATTACGTAACTAAAAGTTTAATTGGTATCGCTTATATTTCTACAATTGAACCCCCACAACTCGAAATAATTAAACTTTAGGCATTTGTTGCCTTTTGTCACTATTTCTCTCTATTGACGACCTTCTAACGAGACTGAAATACCCTGTATATCAATAATAAATAACTAAGACATTCATTTTTACATCGTATTTTCTATAGATTTTCATTGCAAGTTATGAAGGCTCATCTACATTATTTAAAACGAGTTACCTCAGAACTTTTAGCTGGCTTTTGTTTTGCTACTGAATCTGATGGATTTTTCGGTAAATATTTCTGTTCGGGTAAGCGGGCTTCTAAGATAACTTTTAAAACTTCCTGTTGAAATTGTTTTAGTTAGTTAAAAAGAAATGCTACAGTGTAAATATCGTATATAAATAGACACAAAAGAATTCCATTCGCCGCTATATAAATTTACATAATTATGATTTTAATCTCTATGAATTGAAATTAACTTGGACAAACATTTATGCATTCTTTCTAAACCCAATTTGGTTTTTTCATTTGAAGCAGAAACAAAAAAAAACAGTTTGTTTAATTCTGATGAAGCGTTTATCAGAAATCATGACAGATTTCGACAGAATTGACGGAAACACTGACATATGGAGTGATCAATGGCTGTTATCACTAGTGTAAAAATAAACCAAAAAAATAAATAAATATGATTAATTTGTGGCGTTATTTAAAAAATGTTTTCCATAATAATGTGAGACTAATCAAAATGAGATGGGAAATAAAAGGATTTAATCTGAGGGTTTTCTAATTTAATTATGGAATAAGTGTATTCAAAAATATAAGTTAGAAAATGTGCTTGTAAGAAATAAACTTTGATAATAAAACGCATATTAAGCATTAAGGTATCACAAACAAGTTTTATTTAAAAAAAAAAATAAAAAAAGAAAATAGACTTCTGGGGATTTCCCTCTATGAAATAATTTCTATTCATAATGTCCTTATATTTTTTTATTAGCAACTTGCAACCAATAATAAGAGTTTAAGGTAAGTTTCGTCTTTGAATATCACGACTAAGGGAAGAGTCTATACTAGCACTGGTCACTTCATCTGCGTGGTCTGTATTTTAATGCATGCGACAGAGATAAATACAAATGACCGGTTGACAGACAGAGAGACAAAATAAAAACGGCATACAGCGTTGCCGGTTTTTACGTTTGTAGGAAAATGTGTATAGAAAAAAATAAACTATTTTAAAAACTTTCATGTATACTACTGAAATGAAGATAATATATGTAAGCTAAATATAATCTATCACAGCTGTAATAAAATGAGTAATTAATTATGAAAAATAAAGTTCCAACCCTAGATGCAATTTTTCATAAGCGCCTACGTGTGCGGTTTGAATTATTGATGCAAAATCTGGCAATACCGCATAGAAGAAATGTATCAACCCAATTTTTAGCTCTTTTTAATACATTTGATTTACCATTAAGCTGTCAACATCACTATCTTACGCGTTAAAATCCAGACCATGCAGTTTCGATGATCAGATCGGTATATTACTTTATACAAAATAATGAAAAAAAAAACGCCGTCAGCGATGGCTATGAAATGAAGATTGCAAACATTTCATATAATCTCCAGCCATCTGAACGCCGTTTGTTACCATACGGTATATTCATGAACCACCATTTTTGACATTTGTTTAACTTTCAATTGACACATTTGAATTTTGTTTGAAATTTTGCAAATTTGTTGGGATCGAAAGAAGAAACAAGACAAAAATAAAAAAATATACAGGGCATCCCATTTAAATTCCAGCTAAAAACTCGTTACGCCACTGAGTTCCACGGGAAATCCTCTATGGAACTCAGTTTTTACCTTTTCTATAAATTATAAGATAACCGAGATACGAGGGGAGTCGAAAAATGCAACAATTTCAACAATTTGCCCTGCATTTCAGGAATTAAGAGGGCTAGTTTTCATAAAGGCTTAGTTTCATAAAAAAGTAGCACTTAAACGACAAACCCTGTAAAACGCACGAAAATGGGACACCCTCGCCAATAAGAACGCCCCTACGGCACTTACAACCTGGCCCCTACCGGAGTTAAACATAAACTACAATTACCTTTCCCAGTTTTTCTTGTACTTTAACACTTTTTTCGGGTATTGCCGCACCCTGCTTTAAATTTCTTTGCTCGGCTTCTTGTTTTTTGGCCTCCTCATCACCGCTTTGCATCAATTTAAGCCTGGCCTTGCTTACTTTCTGCTCCTGGAAAAATAAAACGAACGAGTTAGATTGCTGAAGAGCTTTTCACAAACATGAGTGGTATTCGTTTCAACAGTATATTTTAGGAGACGTTGAATTAGAAATATGTGCAAAAAAATTAGTATTTTCGAAAGAAATATAAGAACCGTTGGCAAAAATAGATTAGAACAGGTCGGAGTACTGTAACGTGAACAAATGAGCACACACTAGCCCCTCATATTTGTGCCAAACTCTTATTTGCGCTGCTCTTTTAAATACATATATGGATATAAAATAATCTTGTTGCAGGATATAGTACAGATCCCTCAAAATATGTCAAAGTGTAGAAAAGGATCCGTTCTATATCCTCAAACTTACTTTATATTTATATAGCGTTGAACGCAGGTAAACAGAAAAAAGTTAATTTCTGTCTAATTATTTTTCACAAGTATACACAAAACAACACATCGATAGTTGATAGTTACAGTTGCTTTACTAGGATTAGATTTCTGCGAATATCTTCAGTATATTAGAAAAACTACTACTGTATATACTGATTTAACTTTATTGTATTCGATTTTTCAACTAGTTTTTCAAATATACAGAGTGATAGCCAAGTGATTACCAAGCATAAACAGATAAATATGCAAACTATGCATTTAAAATGAATTTTAAACTCAAAAATTCTCGACCTACTGGGTCTTAAGCTTCTAAAAATAGTCCATATATCATTTGCATATATTAATGCTATTTAAATCAAATATCGTACACGAAATTCTCTACTAGTAGTCCGTAAAGTCTTAAAAATTGATATCCCCACAATATACAGTGACGATAACACATCATACAGTCTAAATCTTAGTAAAAAATAAGTATTTTATATACTTGGTGCGTCTCAAAAGTGGCTCACCCCTATAACTGTTACTATTACTTATTTTTTACTGAAAAGAAAAATTCATTCTGTTTTTTATCTGAAAAGATAAAAAAACGAGATTTGGTATGTTAGTATATGACATAAAGACATAAATTAGGAATTGATTGACGTATTCAATTGTTTTCGGTCACTTCCTGTTTCACCGGAAATGACTACAACTTTTGATTTTTAAATGGCACCCTCGGTATTTTTTTACTTTATTCGATAGAAAATATCACTCTGAATAGAATGACGTATCACATGTTAACTTTTGACATTTTCGCATATGGTTTATTTGAAATTGTAACATGCGGTTCATAACAACAAATTGACTATTGAAACACCAAGTGTGTGGTATGAAGTTGTTCCTAAAAAAAAATTTTTAAAATATATTGTATTAAAATACAATTTTTTTTAACCAAAAATGTCAAAAGTTGGCATATGATAATATGTAATTCTATTCAGAGCGTCATTTTCTATCGAAAAAAGAAAAAAAAACCGTAGGTGCCATTTAAAAATTAAAAGTTGTAGTCATTTCCGGGGAACAGGAAGTGATCGAAAACAATTGAATATGTCAATCAATCCTAATTTATGTCATATACTAACATACCAAATCTCGTATTTTTACCTGAAAAAATGAAAAAGTTACTTTCATTTTTTCACTTTTGAGACGCACCCGGTATAGACACTTTAAAGCGGTTTGGTCTTAACTTTTGGTAACTGTCATTAGGTAGTAATGGTTAATATAATTTATTTATATAAAAAATAAAAAATCAGTATTGAACGCCATAGATTCTTTGACCATTTTTTGTATATTAATAATATCTAAAAATAATATGTATTACCGATTTCCTAATATACAGAGATATTAAATCCCATAAAAGTGGATTTAGCATGTATTAATTGAACTTAAATCATTGAATGATTTTTTTAATAATGCTGATGCTATATGTTCGTAAATAGATATATTGTAATCGTATAAAAATGTCATAGCAGGCGTAGAAATAACATTTAATTTCCAGATTTGCTGTCTCTCGCTGAAGTTCTTGACAGTGGTTGACAGTGGCATCTAATAAGAAAGGCATTGATATCAAAACTAAAAAATAAATATATAGTTCTCAAATAAAGAACAAATTTTTTTTTTAATTTTCTGCCTTAAAAATATTTACTAATTACTAGTTGCCAGACAAATCATATTTTCAGATATTTTTTAACTAAATTAGATTTAGCAGATAAAAATGTCTTGTAACAATAAATTTAGCTGTCATTTTCAAAGATCACTTTTAGTCCAGTTGGGTTGGAAATGATGATCGATGACATTCCCCATGTCATTTTTAATATAAAATGAAAGCGATCTTCATTTCAAAGCCATATCTGATGCCGTTTTTTTCAATCGTATTGTATTTTATTTTATCTATGCGCTGTTTATTACAGCATATTCAATTGCTTTTAGATATGTAATCGTACTTTTATGCAAACAATTAAATAATGACCAAGAAATTAATAAAAACAAGATAAACTGTTAATTTTATCTTATTAATACATACATAACATTAAAATAACAATAAAAAAATTCTTATCAATTAGTGATAACGACAATTTTACTCCATAATCTTTATTCGACACAACCTACACTATTAAATCAAATTTACTAGTCGAAATAAATCAAACTAAATACGTGTTTAAAGACATACGGTTAAATTATTGTTAATAAGCATAGTAATACCGGTTTAATACTGTATTTTTATATATATACAGCGGTATAATAATCTATTCATACTTACGCACAAACCACGTTAAAACTGTATAATGGTAGTGGAAGTTTTATTCCGCAAAAAAAAACAAACTGAATGACGCCAGCAATTAAACTTCGCGAAATACGAAAAAATACGAGTATTACAAAAAAGATGATTAGCTTTTTGAATCGCGCGTTGTGTTTGTGAAAGTTCCTTTCAATACTTACAGATATAATAGTACATTATTTTCAATTTATGAGTTATACATTCTTCAGTACAGCCAAAGTTTACAGAATAATTGGTACAGCGGTGCCTATTATATTTAGAAAATTCGAAAGTATTAAAAACAATCTCGTCATACGATACTCAAATTGTTTACGCGAACATGTGTATAATGATATAAAAATTATATCAGCCTTGCGAAGGCAAGTGAATTTTGTCATCTTTCCGATACTATGTATAGGTATATATTAAAGAACAATGACAGAACAACCTTGAAACAGAAACCGATTTTTTTACATAAATAAATTAGACAAATTAAAACAATCGATTAAAAAATTGTACTGGATGGAAATACAATACAATACAGGTCAGTCGAAGTCGTAAAAAGAATAGGAGAATGAAAACATGTTGCCGGTAGTTTGTGATCGTCGAATACTTACAAAACTAACATTGAACTAGACCAAACAATACTAAATATTTCGAAATGTTCTCCCTGCAGGTGAATTATTAAAAGTCCAACGGTTATTTTTAGATGCCGCGTTGAAGATATTCGAGTGTGAATGTACTGCCACGTGATTCAGTCTGTAATCTCACGCCGAGAGAGTAATATATGTGTGTAATTAGGAAATGTAACGTTGGTTGGCTTGTAACCTATCTGGACGACTTGCAGAGTATGAACTGGCATTAAAAACAAATACCGACACACGTGTACATATTAAAACGGTTATATTCAATATTCTCTTGATTCGTCAAGTTTACGATCCACTGGGTACAATACAGTTGATAAGTAAAACGAAAAAACTATTCTGCAAATATACAGGGTGTCAAAAAAATAGTGTATCTACAGTAGTGGCCAAAATTATAACAACTTTTAATATTCTTGAAAATTTTATTGAAATCTTAAAATTGGCGAGTAGTTTATAATTTATTATTATTGTATTTCACTAAAATATTTCTTTACTATGTATACAGTTTTTATCATCACACTATCATCAAATGGAAATACATTTTAAATTTTTTGCTGGACTAAAATATAGCAACTATTTTTTGTAAAGATAATATTCAATCAGGTTCAGACATTTTGGCGAAATGAAAACGCAGTAATAAAGTATATTTATCGGTTAAACTGGGTTTCCCGAAGTTAGGGATATTATTATTCGACGATTTTTAAATGGCGAAAAACAAGTTCGGATTGCCCAGTTTGTTATTAAACAAGTCCGTTATATCACGTATTGTGAAAAAATATCAATAAACAGGATCGCCGAAAAAAACAAAAAATACAGGAAGGCCTAGAAAAACAACAAGAAGAGTTGATAAAACTATTTTGCGGATTGCTCAGAAAAATCCATTTATGAGTTCCAAACAAATTGTCAACGAAATTAGCAATTCTGCCAATGTAAATTTCAGTTCAAGGACTGTTAGGAGGAGATTAGTTGATGCTGGATTATTTGGCCACAGAAAAAACACTTCTCTAAAAAAATGTGAAGGCGTGATTGGAGTTTGCTAAAAATTACTGTAACTGGACACATCAACAATTGAAAAAAGTAGTTTTTAGCGTTGAATCCAAATTCAATCAATTCAGAAGTGATGGAATTGCTTATGCGAGGCGCCCTGTAGGAAAAAGACTGAATAGAAAAGATATTTCACCTACTGTGAAACATGGGGGCGCACGGTGGGCTATTAGCATGCAAAAGGTGATCGAAATTCGAAAAAGCAAATGTGTTTAAGATTTCCCAAAAAACGATAAATGATAAGTTAAATAATGTCTGCCATGAATGGCGTTGCTATGGGTGTGTTTAGTTGCATTCATTCGTTTCAACGAAACGTCAAAGTTGTTACTTCTCACAGATAAGAGTGAATAGCTAAATTTTATGTTTAAAATTATAAATTGTTGTTGTTCTTGTGCTCTTTTTACGTTTATATTATTGTTTTGATTGAAAATGGTTCAGCAAACTGCAGGTATGTATTCTACAAAAACGTATTATTTATTTTGATATTCTCTATATTAACGATTTTTTTTGCAACTAAAAGTTAGGCGTTCAGAAAATTTGATTAAATTTGTGACATTTTTATTATACTTAGAGATTTAGTTGCGCATTTCGAAGAATTCAGCATATTGTCTATATACGTTTTACTTAGTAAACATTGGGCTT